ATAATAAATCTTGCTGTGTACAATCAAGGCTGAATATATTTGTAGCTGTTTTTTTGTTGTTGAGAAAAATGGGTTTCTAGAGACTTATATACGTATTCATGCAAAGTTGTCCAACTTTAAAATTTTATGTAACCCTAACTGACTCCAGTTTGATGTGCTTATTCATTTTGTGTCTATGATGAAGCCGTGGAGACTTAATAAAGAAGTCACCTTGTGAGCAGTGAATCCTTAATTTTTGTCAGTCATTCAGAAATACTTGATTTCAAGAGGAAAGACAGCTGAAAATGTAGTTATGTAAAGCTTTGACACAACATGGAAATTTAATTAGATATCCAAATTTGAATTTTATCATCAAATAAAATTTTAAAATAAATAAACACATTTTAAGGGAGTAATAAGGAAAAGGAGATTAACACCTTTCAGCATGTGCATTTCCTACTTTTTCCAGCAGTGATATTAATTCTGTTGAAGGAAATTCACTGTTTAATGAGAGACAGCTGGTGAAAATGATATGTAAATAAGTAAGAATGCATGTAGACCTACATAATTAAGCAAAACTGAAACACTAATATAAAGTATATATATATATTTTTCTCCCTTCGAATCTGGGAGGGTGGAACCCCAGCTCCAGCTATGGACGAGCCCCCAGGGGGCCCAACTTGATATTTTTTCATGGGGCCCAAAATCTCTGGCAGCCCCCCTGGTTCCAACTATAGGGGGATCACACTCCTCAGCCTCCCTGGAAAGGTCTACTCCAAGGTACTGGAGAGGAGGGTCTGATCGATAGTTGAATCTCAGATAGAGGAGGAGCAATGTGGTTTTCGTCCTGGCCGTGGAACTGTGGACCAGCTCTATACCCTTGCAAGGGTGATGGAGGGGGCATGGGAGTTTGCCCAACCATTCCACACGTGTTTTGTGGATTTGGAGAAGGCTTATGACCGTGTCCCCAGGGGCACCCTGTGGGGGGACGCTCCAGGAGTATGGGGTGGGTGGCTTTCTGTTAAGGGCCATTCATTCCCTTTACCAGAGGAGCGTGAGTTTGGTCCGCATAGCCGGTAGTAAGTCGGACCTGTTCCCAGTGAGGGTTGGATTCCGCCAGGGCTGCCCTTTGTCACTGGTTCTGTTCATTACCTTTATGGACAGAATTTCTAGGCGCAACCATGGTGTGGAGTGTGTCGAGTTTGGTGGCAGGAGAATCTCATCTTTTGCGGATGATGTGGTCCTCCTAGCTTCATCCAGCTCTTACCCTCAGCTCTTGCTGGGTAGGTTCGCGGCCGAGTGTGAAGCGGCTGGGATGAGGATCAGCACCTCCAAATCTGAGACCATGGTTCTCGACCGGAAAAGGGTGGTTTGCCAACTCCGGGTCGGGGGAGAGGTCCTACCTCAAGTGGAGGAGTTTAAGTATCTCGGGGTCTTGTTCACGAGTGAGGGTAGGAGGGATCAGGAGATCGACAGGCGGATTGGTTCTGCGTCTGCAGTGATGTGGACGCTGAGCCGATCTGTCGTGGTGAAGAGGGAGCTGAGCCAGAAAGCCAGGCTCTCGATTTACCGGTCGATCTACGTCCCAATCCTCACCTATGGTCATGAGCTTTGGGTAATGACCGAAAGAATGAGATTGCGGATACAAGCGGCCGAAATGAGTTTCCTCCGTAGGGTGGCCAGGCTCAGCCTTAGAGATAGGGTGAGGAGCTCAGACATTCGGGAGGGACTCGGAGTAGATCCGCTGCTCCTCCGGATCGAAAGGAGCCAGTTAAGGTGGTTTGGGCACAGAGTCATGCTGATTTGAGCGTGTCGCTGCTCGCTGGAGTTATATCAGCTCTGTATGGAAATTAGTTGGAAAACTTTCCTTCAATCGTGAACACATTACTGAGCGGTTAAAATCTCTGTTTCTGGGCTTTAACGTCGTAAAATTGCTGAGTAAACTCGGCGCTGAGTGAGAGGAGTGTTTAGTTTGCCTGAAACAGCGGAGCTGCAGACACCGGCAGCAGACGCTGAAAAAAAAACATCGACATTAATATGGACAATGAGTTTCCATAGACTCCAATAACAAGTTTTTCTGCTAAAATGGGAGGTGGCCACCACCGCCATTTTGACCGTGTCATAGGTTCCGTCAAGCCCAGACAATTCCATAAAAGGGAAGAGAGGAGGAGCTGAGGGTGGGGCTGTAAGGCTGGGATCAACTGACGACACCCGGTCGAACTAGCTACAAGCTAACCTGAAGCTAACCCAAAGCTAATGAGGAGGTGGGAGTTAAGCTAACGGAGGTAGCAACCTAGCTACAACCGGAGTTAACTGTGCACAACACTAGAGCTTCTGAGTCAGAGCTACGCCGGGCTGACCGCTGGGTAAAACCGGGTGGAACACAGAGGTCTCGGAGACCTCCACAAGCCGGCAGCCGCACAGCACACAGAAGCCGCGATCAGACAGATGTGTCGAGCTGCTGGAAGAACCAGCCGTCAGCTCGCCGCAGCAAACAGAAGCCGTGATCAGACAGAGATGCGCCGAGCTGCGGGGAGAAGTGGCGTATTTTGGCGGTTCTGGCTTGTCATAAGAACCAGCCGTCAGCCCGCCGCAGCACACAGAAGCCGCGATCAGACAGATGCGCCGAGCTGCTGGGAGAACCAGCCGTCAGCCCGCCGCAGCACACAGAAGCCGCGATCAGACAGCGATGCGCCAAGCTGCTGGGAGAACCAGCCGTCAGCCCGCGCAGCTAACAGGAGCCGCGATCAGACGGAGATGGACCGGGCTGCGGGGAGAAACAGCCGGCATTCCGGGTGGAAAACATCGGTCTCCCGAGAGCTCCACAAGCCGATAGTCGGAACCCAGCTCCACCAACATGTTATATTTCAACCCATTTTCTAAAATGCAGCATTATGTTAAATGCACTGGGTTTTACCCTATTACATTTAAATTTCATAGTTAAACAGTACATGTTAAAATCTAAGCTCAGCTCGGCAGTGACCTAAAATACATAAATATAATTTTACTTACCGAAAAAATGAAGTGGAGACTCCTTGGACGCTCTATTAGTGCAATTAATGCCACAGCAAGTCATTTTGTCCAACAATTGCACAAATAATATCCAAAAAAGAATACACAAACACAGAGACTCAAAATCCCAGAACAGTTTCCAAGCCAGACCGAGGCTCTACTGAGGCCTTTCCACGGAGCTAGCTCTGTGGTCACGTGGGTCGGATGCTCATTAATTATACAGAATTTTAGGCTTTTAATACACTTAAACAGAAGAGTGAGAAAAAAATTCACCCCCCTCAGAGTTGTCATGAGTGTAAACTAGATAATTTAAACCAAAAACATGTTTTGGTACCAGGCTGTAAACATGTTTATTTCTGCTGTGAAATTGGCATTGTTAACATGGGAGTCAATGAGGATTTGCTCGCTTCTGATACCAGCTCCCAGCGGATGAGGGTGGAACTGCAATTTTTCTTACTTCCGGGTTGGCCTCAATTCTAAAGCTGCATTGTGGGGGCCTGGAAAAAACACAAAGGAGGGGACGCTTCGGCTCAGTGCTAACGCCGCAAAGCACCATGGGAGTTGTAGTCGTTGCGGAAAAATCGGCCAGCGGATCAGTTTTAATATATTTTTGATATTTATCTTGTGGGCCAGAGGAAGGCTAAAGGCTAACATTAAGCTAACAATGCTAATGGTGAATTAGAAAAAATAGTTGGCTCTAAAAATAATCTCAAACTATTTTTGCTATTACCATCAACTTGATATTACAGTGAAACATATTTATCTACTGTGTATGACTTGTCTTCACTCATTATCTAGAATCCTCTAGTGGTGATCCATGTCTGTCAACAGCCATGACACTCAGAACGGGAGTAAGAAAGTCACAGTTTGATTGGAAAATTGGCTGCAGTAACCACTTTTGACCACATGATGTCATTCTTACCTACCATATGACCTTTGAAGGTTCATGTTACCATAGACAACCTCCTTGGAAATAGCTACTTAAGGAGAATTGATGACTAATGGGCCATTCCCACCTGTACCGGGTCGGCCCGGGCCGGGTAGCCCCAGTCGGCCCCAGCCTGGCCCGGTTGATTCCACACATCCTTGCCTTAAGCCCATGTGGGCTGATTCTACCCACCAATCAGAGGCTTGCTCTAATGGAAGGTGTGAATTTGCTGTCAGCAGTGGGCGTGTTGGCCCTGGTCGGCCTGAAGCAGTACCCCTCGGGAAGAGGGCCGAGAATGAGCCTTGGTTGGCCCGGGAAAATTCCAGGCCACCCAGATATGTAAACAACCTACGCTACCCGGCCCGGGCCGACCCGGTACAGATGGGAATGGCCCATAATGGAAAAGACAACTACTATCAACGGGAAACAGAATCAGAAGTACTTCTTTAGAGATGAGATGTGAACTATAAAGTCAACATGCATCCGTGTCAGTTTACACCATCCATCCCAGTTCTAGAATCGCTAAAGGAAGGTAAACATCTCTGTGGGCTTGGTTTCTTGTTACATTAATTGTCCATGTTTCAATTAGTAAAGGAACTTATTACATTTGTCTACTTTTTGTCATCACCGTGTCATCTGTGCTTCACTTATGATCTTCTGTTTTATTTGTTACTGACTTCTTCTCACTCATGTCCACACAGTTCAATGTAGACTTTTTACGTATAATTCTACATTTTTTTATTTCCTCTCAGCTTGTTGGTCTTTTGTTGGGACAATTTTCTAATTTAGTCATTGTCTGAGACGTAGCTCCACCTCAGCGCCTCCACAGATTCCTGATCCGAGCATGCCATCTTCTCTACACGGAATGAGACTGCATGTCTTATTACATTGCCACAAATAACTAATTCTGTCTTTATTTTGTCTTTTCCTCCCATTTGTTCTGTTCACACACAATGTTGTTTCCTGCCTGTTCTAAAACCTTCCAAAAACTTTAAACCCCTCCTCTCCCTGACAAAAATCTAAACTTTCAATTGAACTGACTCAATGAACTGTGAATCGGTGCCTCCTGGTCACAACTAAGGCATATTACAAGCGTCAGGATCTGGCTGAGGAAAGAGACTGTTGGGATCTCCAGAGGGAGGTGGTGAAGCAGAGGTCTCTCCGCAGTAAGCGTCTCCACAGCATCCCGGAGGTGGCCGAGGAGGAGTCTGACAGCCTGGACAGCTCAGGACAGCGCCTGAGCTTTGAAGAAAGCGGGCAGCCAGGAACACCACAAACTCACCGGAGGATGTATCCCCCGGAGACTCACCCACACAACCATCCCACCTCCAGCAAGAACTCCCGTCTGCAGCGCCAACGTTCCTCCCCTCGCTTCACGGACCGCCGCTTCGGCTACAACATGGATGATCGCAGCTTTGGACGACCCAATCGGCAAAACACCAAGAGTCCAGACAGTGGTTTAGACTGTGGCAGTGAGGAGGAAGGCTCTCTGGGTCGGGGTCATCGGGGGTATTATGTCCATGGGAGTCCCATCCGGGGGCCTGTGCGCATCATTCACTGTGAGGGTCCAGTAGAGAGGCGGGCGCTGGCGATGGGCCGTAAAAGAACTTTGACCCGTCAGTGCAGCGTGGAGGAGGAGTTCTCTGACATCCCCATGACCACAGCTAAGTCGATTCACATGGGTGATTTTAGGAACAGGGAGCACTTTGGGCCAGGTCGAGAGGTTGGGCCACGAATCTACTCCAGAGAAGGAGCCCTGAGCGAGGGCAGACTGAACGAGCTGGACAGGGTCTATCTCAGCCCCCACAAGGAGGCTAGGGCCCAGTCTTTGTCCAGGCTCAACCGGGACCAGCCGCTGGTGTGTGTGATTCAGAATTTTTGCTGTATTTTACCATCAGCAAGCTGCAGCCATGTCTTTATTTTTTACGACAACCCCCTTTTTCATTTGGCTTTTTTTCGTCCCTCTTTCTCGACAAAATGCCACGTTCATAGTCTGTCTAATTTCAGTTCTTTTTTGTGTGAATTATGTTGTTTGTATTCAGAATGTAAAGTGCTTTTTGGAGTAAAGTTTTCAATAATCTAAAGGCCATTTGGGGTTTGACTTCTCATGTCTTTGAGGGGAAAGGCTCCATTTGAAGGAAAGTCCCTGTGCAGTGCATGGGGACTTGCTGCTCCTGTCTTTTTCGTCTGCCTGCGCTTTCTTTCTGTCAGCTGCCACCTTCATGTGTTGCTGTTTTTGTCACCCTCATGAGAGCCGGGGCTTTGGTGCTCCAACATGTGCTTGGAGCTTCTTGGAGCTTCCTGTTAGCATCTCTTGCCCTTCATTGCCCCCCCCCCCCCCCCCCCCCCCCCCAAAATGTTAATTCAAGACTCACTGCTTTCAAGAGTGAACTTAGTCTAAAGCTGTCCCACATTATCTCTTTGCTTAAATCTCTTCTTATTTTTCCATTTCAGCAAAAAACAACAAGTATCTTGTTCATCTAAGCAGTTATGTCAGTTAGATGTTGTGAGTGTTTTAATGCCAGCAGCTCCAGGCTGCAGCTATAAAGACTTGGCTCCAGTGGCGGCTCCAGAAATTTTTTCCTGCAGGTGCTATGAAGGAGCTAGTCTTTTTATTGAGGGTGCTATGAAGGAAGTGGTCATGCGTACCTATTCTTCTCTAAAACACCTTCAACACTAGCAGATACACATGCATGCACAAAACCTCAACAACACCTGAAACAATCATTAATATACTTCATAAACATATGAACAATCGCTGACTTTTCCATGAAATCATAAACACATACAGCCACGCAGAAAATCATCTGTAGTGTTGCAAGGTTAGCTAACGTTAGTGTTAGCATTTCCAGCGGCAAAACCCTCGACTGCTGCGGCGGTTGAGTTTGACTCTCTACATCCAGATCCGTAGGTTTTTGTGGGTCTGAGATCACTTCCAAGGATTCATTCGTTTCTGACTGAACCTGTGGAAATTTGGGCAACAAAAACCAATCCATTTTACCACTAGCTCTACCTTTCACTCGTTCGCAGGTGGAAAATGAGGTCAAAGGTTAACATCAATTTCCTGTTTTGGTTAAAGTTTTTACTATCTATATGATAATTTACTGATTATTTTTGTTTTGTATGTTAAATATTATCACATCCACACGTTAAATAAAAATTAAATTGTAAAAAAAATCTAATATTTACTTGGGGGTGCAATGACTAATCCAGGGGTAGCTATAGCGCCCCCTAGCACCCCCTGGCGCCGCCACTGCTTGGCTCTTCTAAACGCATCTTTGCTCATTTTCGATCACACTCACCTCCCCCTCTTCATTATTTGTTCGTATTTTTTTGTGCTGTCATATGCTTCCTTTTCTCATCAAGGAGCAGACATGCACAGAATGAAACAAACCAAATGAATGGTCTTTAGCTTAACATTTGACCCTTTCTGAACCTGAGTCTATAATGTTGTGTTTGGGGTTGATTTGACTGACTTGTTTTTGTGGTTTGTGGGATATCTTTATAATTTCTTTATTGTTATTATTTGGCCTCCTTAAGGACAAATGGAAGCTCTTGTGGTTTTTCATTTGTTTTATTGGGATTATTTTTGAGTGATGTTGACTTGCCTTCACACTGCAGGTGGTCTGGAGTTCTAACGGTTCCTCTGTGTTCTGTTTACCCTGAAGATCATTGGGAACTCACCGTCACACGGGAGCCCTGATCATCCAGACCATTCAGGGAGGAGGCCGGTTCACCCCATCGGTACCCCTCCTATGAGACGGCCCATCCCATCCATCGGTTAGTGAGGTTACATGTGGATCTCCAACTGCAGGGCAACTGATGTTTGTGCTATTTATACCATGTCTTTCCCATGCCAGTGTCAGCTGAGCTGTACATTCTCCCCATAGAGCTTTAACAACCACAGGCCCATTTGGTGGGGGTGTTTGCGCACCCCTGTTGCAGTCCATCTTCATGAGCTGAATTCACCAAATGTTCACATGCAGTTTTGCAGGAAGGTTGCTCCAGATGTTCTCCCCATGTCTCTTTTTACACGTTTACATGACCACCCAATCTAAACTCCCACAACAGTGCAAGCATTGCTGTTTTACATGCAGAGACTCCAGAGCCAAAGATGTTGCCTTTCAGGGCAACCCCATCTTCCTTCTGTCTCAGCATGAGTGAATGGGCCATGGGGTAGAGCAGCGTATGTGTGTGTGGTCTCTGACCGTAACGTTGTGATTGGTGTCTTCTATAGAGATCACCATGGACAGTAACAGTGAGGGGAGTGAGGGGAACCTCTCACCCGTCAAGGAGGATGTTTACTATGGCAGTGTAGCTCGACGCAGGATATGGCGATCTTTGTCCTCTGAAGATCAATCTGGTATGTGGTGCAGCTTCTCTCCAAGATGACGATTCACCTTGACAATGCCAGAAAAAGCCAAGAATCCTTCTTGGAAACATGCAGTAATGTCTTGGTGGTTCCATGCTGGACAGTTAGCTGCTTTGTGTCAAGTTTAGCTTTGTTTAGCTGAATAAAGCTGACTGGGGAAGACAAGACTGGCCACTTTTCCCATTGCCAGAGAATGATCATCCCTTTCCTGTTGTACTCCTATGAAACCCCAACCATCCACTCTTCCCATTAATCCGCCAGGCAACTCTCCACCCATCAACGACTTAACCCACCCTCCTTCTTCCTTACCTTCACTGCAACCGCCCCCGTTTCCCTCCCCACCTTTACGAGACAGTACACAGTTCCTCTTGTTAATTTTGCATGACCCGATAACAAAAACAAAAAAAACTGAGAAGAAGACCTCGACACTGGATGAGTCACCTTGGCAGTATCACTCTGTTGCCCATTCATAAACCCAAAGACCATTTGACATCTTCCACAGCATATCTCAGTTAGTTATTAGCCAGACTTACAAGCTGCCATTAAAACATTCAACATGGTGATCCATGAAAAGCTTGGGGAACTGATATCAGGTTCACCCCTTCCCCCTCACTGTCTCTGATATCTACGATAAAAGCTGGGGTATTTGATGTGTTGTCACTCACTGGAGCATGACTCGCTCACAGGTTATCGCTGCACCGTGTTTTCAGATGTGGTTTAAATGCATGATGCTACACCTGCATTTGATGTACGAATGCTCCCCTTCTGTATCGAATCCCAGGAAAGCATGCATGTTAATCAGCCTCTGTGAGATAAGGCAGTGAAACAGCAATGAAAGTAGTGCAGTGGTACTTGTGTGCTCATCAATGTACCATTTAGCTTGCCTGGTGTTTGCTTTCTGTGTTGTGTTGCACTGTGATCTGTTACACACCATCAAGAAGAGATGTGTGAACAAAGAACCTTACAATTCTGTGACTTTATTTGTGCATCAATATTTTTAATGAACGGACACTAAAGTTTCTCTATTTCAAAGATTAAAAGTTGAATGACAGCGATGGACCTCTGGCTCTTTCTTCACACACGTGTCTCACTGCCCTCTCCCCTGTCAGCTCTAAAAAAGAGACATCTTCTGCTCTCGTTGCCTCTACAGCCAACGTGGCTGTATAAGGCTGGTAGTAGCAGCAGAGGCCTCCTCTGTGTTTCAGACAGCTATGGCGGCCGCAGGCACGGGCGGCGACGACGCTCTCTGGATTATTATGAGGAATCTGAGCCAGAGGACATGACCCGTGCGTTTGTGGCTCTGTTTGACTACGACCCTCTGTCCATGTCTCCCAACCCGGATGCTGCTGATGAGGAGCTGCCGTTCAAGGAGGGCCAGATCATTAAGGTGTTTGTCTCATTCCTGACATTGCTGATGAGAAACAATACTCCTGCTAATGGCTCGTCGGTTGTGAAAACATCTGCTGATCACATGTTGGGGGTTTCGTGCATTTTCTTTTAGGTGCTTGGAAATAAAGACACAGATGGCTTCTACAGGGCAGAGATGCGAGGCCGAGTGGGTCTTATTCCCTGTAACATGGTTTCTGAAATTCAAACAGAAGATGATGAAATGATGGACCAGCTTCTCAAACAGGGTTTCCTCCCACTAAACACTCCAGTGGAAAAGTTAGGTGAGACAGGAATTTTGCCCTCTTTGCTTTTCTCTACAGTATATCCTTGCTGCTATCTGGCTGCCTCCGTGCTGTTTCTTTCATTTACTCTCATCTCCTTTCCTCTATACCCTTTTCCCTGCTTTGTTGTTCTTCTGCTTCCCTGTGAAGTGAACTGCGACCGTTTTAAAGATGGACGTTCAATTAATCGCAGGTCCAGGAAGTCCAAGAGAGGTCTGTGTGCACCAAGATAATCATCTGTTTAACACATCTTAGTCTCTCTGTTTGTGAGCATTTAAAATTCATCCACATTTTCTGACTCCGAAACCTGTTTCACACTAAATGAGGACTGGATGTGGTCCGGTCTCCGTATGGCTTCCAAATGGATCAAAAATCATTTAGCCCAATCAGAACATTCACTCCGGCTACGGTGTGATGTCGATCCAGATACGGAGCTCTGGAAAGTTTACGCATGGTCTATTTTTTCTGTACGCTGCATGTGGATTGTCATGAATTTGAAGAAATTACATGAACCAGACAGGAAGTGTGACATGAAACAGCAAGTTGCATACAGTCTATTTCAAAATAAAACCTGTGTTGCATTATTTTTGCAGACTTTAATTTTATTTCACCTTTATTTAACCAGATGAGTCGATTGAGAACTCATTCTCATTTCCAAAGACGATCTGGCCAAGAGGCAGCAGCAACAGATTGTTAATGACAGGGACCAGTTTAGTGTTTGATAGTTCATGGTATATTTACAGGTATTTTTTTAAATGTATCATGTTCAATTTCTAATAATTTGGTGTTTTTGTGAGAGTTCATTTCTAGAGATTTTCAGCACACGAGTCACAGTTGTTGTGCACGGCAGTTCGTCCAGAAGCCATATGGAAACTAGAACGCCTCCGCATTCAGTGGGAAACAAGCCTCAGTTACTCCTAACATCTAGAACTTTCTATCAAAGCCCATATCTTTTTTTGCACAGTAAAGTGCACAAGTCTGAGCTTTTTCTTTTTATGTTTGATGCAAAGAGCTAGTGATTGTCGGTCATGATCGCAAACGAACCGGCTCTAAGAGCCGGCTCTTTGAAGTGAACGACGGGAGCCGGCTCCTCATTGGGAGCCGTCCCCTCCCCCAACCCCTTTTGCTTTGGTGAAAGCCACAGGCGATTGGTCAACATGTGTAACTGCGTGTCCAGACTGTCCACACACAGCAGTAGGGGGCGGGGAAGAGGGAGGATCAGACTCAGACAGACACACAGCAGAGAACATGCGGGTGGAGGGAGATGAGAGGGAATGAGGAGGAGGAAAAAGGCGAGCAAGAGAGAGGAGAGTGCAACGAAGATGGTGAGAAAATGAGCGCCAGCAGTCGGAAAGAAGAGATTTTTTAAAAAGTTCAGTTACTAAATCCATAGAAATTATAAATATTTGATATATTGCATTTTTTTACATTAGTAAATCATTTTACATATAGTTTTGCATTATTTTGGTTATAAATGTACTCTACGCAACAGAAAATCTGAGGAGCCACTTGGGAGCCGAAAGAGCCGACTCTTTTTGGTGAGCTGAGCCAAAAGAACCGGCTCTCTTAAAAGAGCCGGAATGCCCATCACTACAAAGAGCAGAAGGAACACGAGTAATGACAATCCACTAATGTCCAAAAGAAAACTTTGAAAACCCTTTAGAAGGCATGAAAAATGATTTTTAAAACCCCCAGAGAAGTCTAACATTTTAGAAGGAAAGTAACTCAAGACCTAAACTCTGTTTGGATGCTGATGTACTTCGTGTCATTTTTAAAAATCTCAGTAAGCTTTTACATTTATGCCACAGAATACTCTTACTTCTCTCTTCTTTGTGGTACTTTTTCCTTCAGAAAGAAACAGGCGAAGTGGACGGCAGTATCCGATGTCCACACGAAGGATGGTGGCCCTGTACGACTATGACCCCCGCGAGAGCTCTCCGAATGTTGATGTTGAGGTATCGATCTATAGAAGATCCGGTTTTTAAATTGGCACTGATCTTTTTTGTGAAACGACTTTTGTAAAAACATTTATGTAAACATAAATTAAGAAAACATAAAAACAACAAAGCTGTAGGAACTGAAAAAGCATCCAATAAATGGTGCAGTGTTAAAATGAAAAGGGCAGAGCTCGTCTTCAGAAAAGCTGTGATTTGAAATTAGCATGCTGCTTTTTAAAGACTACTTTCCCATGCTGTTTTTTGGCCCCTCCCCTCCCTGGTTTCACTTACTCTCACCTTTCTATTGGCGCTGCCACCGTCACAGTATGAAGGCAGCAGACTGAAGGAGGAGGTGAGTGAGGGTGAGGAGGGTACCGTATACGCCATGTGTGTGTGTTTCCTCCCCGTCTGTTGGAGTGAAAAAGAGGAGATGGGCTTCGGATGCCAGGCCACGGCCCTTTTATTCTTGATGGTTACAAATACTGCCCCTCCCACTCCCCCTGCCCCATCTGAGCCAGCATCTCCCCTCCTCAGTTTGGTCTTTTGTGTCAACCTCTCCTACTTGCTGTACATACGCCATGTTTGGTTTGTGTGGTCTGGATTATCCCATTGAAGAGATGTGCCCAGTGTTACAATCCTGTCTTCAAAGTGACAACATTTGATGCATTTACAGTTGCAATCTGCTCTGACGGCATTGTCGTATTTACGATGCATCACATTGATTTGGAGAAGGAGGCACAACATTTTAAACTCATCAAACTCCAGTAGATTTGATGTTTTACCAAGAAAACACATAAAATGCTGTTTAGTACAATGACAGATAAAGCTGCACTTATCTGAAGATTTCTTTATTTGTCCCCAATAGGCTGAACTGACTTTCAGTGCCGGTGATGTCATCACAGTTTTTGGTGAAATAGATGAAGATGGATTTTATTATGTAAGTAAATGATGTTTGCATCTCATTATTACACAAAGCAACACGAGGCCTTTAACCCTGAGGCATTACTTTAATTTACACCCTCTTGTGACCTTAGAGGACAAAAATGTCCACTCGTAAAAATGGCTATAAAATGTATACATTCATATTTGTATCTACTTATTTTTTTCATGGATCTGTTAAACAATTTCAGTCCTGCTCAAATCTATAAAAACTTCAGCCATTTAGAGAGTTTTAACCCTTCAAAATCCAGCTTGATTACTCAATGTCATAGGGAGCCTACATCAAGCCCATCTACTTCCGGACCATGGGTCCCTGGAAGAATGAAAAAAATGAATGGAAGTCAGTTGGGCTAAAAACACTATTTTCTAATTCCGTTTGCTATGTGCCATGGATTGTACATATGATGTCCATGAATTTACAAGATGCATTTTGACACTAAGAACGCACTTATTTTTGAATGGGGGAAACATTTTTTTTTGGTTTTGTGTGAAAACAAGTTCAGGACTACAAATGTGCTTCACGAACCAGACACGGAGAAAACAGAGGGAAAATGGCTGTAAGTTAAGCGAACTTCATATCCTTCCTTCAGATGAAGGAAACCACCATAAATATGGCCATTTGGTAAGCAGCAGCAAAGCTACGGGAGAGGAGATTATGTGGTGACGTCATAGAAGTCTAACATTTTAGAAGGAAAGTAACTCGAGGCAAAGCGATTAGAAAATAGCTTTTTTAGCCCCGTTGACTTGCGTGAATTTTTTTGTTTTTCCGGGGACCCATGACCCACCCGCAAGGGGGGGAGACTTAGGCTCCGTGTTGCTGTAATTTATGAAAAGTTAAGAGTCATTAAAAAAAAATTCAATTTGCCTCCAGCCAGGTGCATAAACATCCATCCATTTCCTGAACCCACTTGTCCATGCAAGGACATGGGGGGCTGGTGCATGACGTTAACTTTAATTTATATCTTATGAACATTGTGTATGGGTGTAGATAATGATTCACTTGTTAAACCAAACATTACCGATCATAACATCAAAATGTTTCATTGTAATATTAAAATTCATTTAAACTTCATTGAATTATGCACAGGTTATTCAAACATTAATATTATTATTCATATAACATTTGTTCATTCAACCATATGTTTATTTAATGATTAATTAACTTATGAGTTGTAAAAGTTCATCTTTCAAGAGAGTGTGCAATCCTGCAGTCTTATCAAAAGAAAGCTTTGTTTGGGAACATAGGCTGACATCTTGTCCCCCCTAAAATGTCAACAAGGACTGCAGAATCTTCTGGGCTTTAGAAGACGGAATAGAAACTTCACTCAAATTATGGAATTATGTCTGCAGATGACGGTGGCATGTGTAGGTCAATATGTTGGTGAAAAATGAACCGTTCTGGACGTTAGTTACAAAACTCAAATACTCAAGTACTAAACATTTTGTCCCAATTCTAGCCTCCTTCCCAAAGAACCAATGACAGTCATCATGACTCTTGAAATCCTGTCCAAGACTATTCCTGTTGGAAGCAAGCTACAATTGGGACAAAATGTTGTGTATTGGTAGACTGAGATGTGTTTTGAAAGTTGTGATTTGATTTGAAACTTGTACATTCATTTTTTTCTGCAAGTTACTAAATAAAAGTTTCATGTTAGGCACCACATGTTACAAAACTAATTTACCTGTTACAAAATGAAAGTTACTTGTTAGAAAATGTGAATTACATGCTATAAAACAAAAGTCACAGCCATAAATCATGTTACAAGTTACAAAACTTGGTACAAGTTACATGTCATATTGTCCCAATCCTAGTTCCATAAGATGGCTGGTAAAAATTCCAAAAACAGGCGGCCCAAACACAAAAAACAGGAAAAACAAGACAGAGGGCAGAACAAATTATGTCACTGAAAACAAGGGGCCAAACAGTTCCGTCGTGTAGACATGTGTTGGCTAGTAGCAGCTACAAGCTAGTAGCAGCCGCTGCGCTGCTAATATGTTGAGCACAGTTTCTGACAAAGTTTGGGGAAACCACCTGCTGGAGCAGCAGGATGTAAAACTAATCAATCACATTTCACAGCCAACTCATGAGCTGTTGTCAGAAAAATAAAAAGCCAAAATGCAGCAATTTTTAATCCTAATGTCATAGTTCTTTCTCAGAATTGGGAGGAATACTTAAAAATAAACAGATCAGCAGGAGAGACTCACTGCTCTCGTCTCCCCCACAGGGTGAGCTGAATGGACATAAAGGTCTTGTTCCTTCCAACTTTCTAGAAGAAGTGCCTGATGATGTTGAGGTTTTTCTCACTGATTCACCATCTCGCTACCCCCAGGACACTCCAGCACGGATAAAGACCAAAAGGGTACATGCTCCTTCGCAGTACTAGCCCTCTGTCATCCATCTGCTCTTTTCTATTCCCTCTAACTCCTTTGGTTTCGTGTCTGTGCGTGTGTGTCTCACTGAGCCAAGTGCAAAAAGGATTTCTGATTTAAGAGCATCACCCTGTATATAAATGAAGAAATAAACGGTTAAGAAAATGAAACCAATATTAAAACTTGACAGAGGTATTTTTGTTTCTCGTGTTTCCTTTTGTGAAAGGGGGAAGTTGTGCATTGTTCTAATAAACTGACATGTTGTATTCATAAAGCATTCTCGGTGAGCGTAAAGCAGATGGGGAAATGCTCCTGTGAATTTTTACTTATGTCTTGGAGAAACAGCAGCTAACACTTTTTGCACATGCATATGTAACATTCTAACAGATGCTTTATGAATATATTCTGTGTTTGATCCTAAATGATTTCTAATAGAGTCAATAGTTTTGTTGTACTGAAAGATGAAGTATGTAGTCTGTAGCTCAGCATGGTATATAGTCCAGATGCATGAACCTTTTATATCCAGATGAGTCGAGCATAGCACTTTTGTATCTGCTCCTGAATGCCTTGTTTTGTAATATGCTTTCTTGTAAATTTGACAAGCAGAGGTCACTTAGCCTATGTTGCCATCAGAGAATAATTTCAGAGGTAATTTATTTACAAAATGTAAATATGTGATGTTATTTTTGTTTAACAAATAATGCAATTGTTGAAAAAATTTGTAGGTGTCATCAGAAGTTTCTTTCCCTCTATTTACCATTGTCAATGTGCTGACTATTGAAATGCCATCACCATATATTTTTTATTTCTTTTTTTCCTCACCTGCTTGGCAAAACAGAAGAAGAGTGTTCATTTCACACCTTAAAGGCTCTGTTTCCATCACGTAAGTGAGCAACTGAGGATACCAAGATTACGCTCCTCTCGTCTAATGCAGATGGCATGGGTATCCTTAGTTCCTGGTATGCAACACGGATACTTTGTCTGACATTCCTTTGGTTTTCCCACCAGTCATCTTTTCCCAACCAAAACATTCAGCTCTTCGTCTTGGGTGGACATAGTTACCCTAGGCAATGCATTAAACAAGTGTGGTATCTTCAGTTGTTTCTCTGAGTGTTGTACATGATAATGTCCGTCTCCTGCAATAAATCTCCTGCTGTAACTCATGAAACGCTAAAAGGCCATTCTTGCACAATTGCTGTAGGAAATAAAATCAGCAGTCCTGTCAGTGCAACACGCTTCACCATACTGTTTCACAAAAAGTTGGGATGATGTAATGAATTTATAAATAAAATAGAGTTGCACAAAGATTTTAATTTTTGATTCAAAACCAAAAAAAATTCAGCTTTGAAACTGAGAATTTATTTTTGTAGATAATTTACAATATTTTTTCATTCTGTAAAATCTTAAAACATAATAATTTGAAGAAGTAAAGCTCCCTCTGAAACATCTCACAGCTGATTAGATGAACCAAGAGCAGATCAGTCACATGAGGAAATAATAGAACCTTCCAGGAACTCCAAACTTATCGTTGTGACATCCTGGTGGTGCTTCATAAAAAGTATTTCTTAGAGGTCTCACTGTGAAACTATTTTTTACTTAGGCTACTATTTGTGAAAATGATCGGCCACCAAGTTTGACATGCAGGCGGAACATCTCCTGCATTAGCTTCTGATAAAGTGAAACGCTAAGATTTGAAAAGCCGGACAGATCTATGTCGCACTGTCACTGATCATTCATGGACTCGCCCATCTAAACTAGTGACGGGGAAGGCTGTTTTAGCATCCAGGAAACCGCAGACAATGTCTCAACTAGCCGATGCATTAGCAGTTAGCGTTAGCAACTCCACCTCACAGCAGAACTCCTTCATGCTTGCGTTATTTGTGGAATCAACGTTGCAGTCAGTGGTAGTCGCATTGCTGTTAGCCAATCAGAGGCGAGATGTCCAAATATCAGAAAATGAGACTCGAAATCCTGCTGTCTGAAGTGACATTCTTCTCCATCCAAATTCTTCGTGCTGATACAGGTGTGACTTACAAGGCCTTCATTACTAATTAAGAGCACTGCAAGTGTATTAAAAACATAAGTGAAGGACCTCATTTATATAGCTCTGATCTGGTGTTTGTCACAATTTGTTGCAAATCAATCAAAATTAATTCTCAGTTTCAACTACTGAAAATACTTTTAAAATATATTTGCAAAGCATTCCTCTTTAGATTTCGCTGGATGTCCTCACTTTTTGGGAAATACAAAAGAATAAATAAATATAAGTAACCCCTCAGAAATACACTAGTAAAACAAATCTTTTTTATTAAAGAAAATTTTGATCAAACTTAGTTCTCAATTCAGAGCCGGTTCTGTGAAGCTTACTAATTCAAATATGTTTAAAGTGAGAATTTAAAGCTGCTATTCACAATCATTACATGTATATATATATATATATATATATATATATATATATATATTTTTTTTTTTACTTTAATTTAATGACATGTTAAAGTAACCCAGACAGTCAAATGACTCAGTTTAGCTAACACAAATTACCAACAACAATCAGGTTTGCAACTGTGAATTCATGCATTTTATTCCTCCAACTTTCTATTCGTCATTGGATATGAAACTATTTTGCCCAACAAAGCTACCAAGTCTCACTTTAAACTGACTTCTCATATTTATTTGTGCTGCAGATTGTGATATCTATCCAGAATAAACAGAGAAAAGCCTTGTGCAAACTTAAATCTGTACTAAAGTGCAATTTAAGAGCCTTTTAGCTCATGATTACAGAAAAGTACTGGTGACAAGCAGTCTCTTTGTAACTCACAAGTATAAGTATGTACTTTATTTAAGAAAGAAAATGTGATAAAAATGTGTCCCCCCGAAAATTTAGTTTTATTTAAGTAAAAGGAGCCATATTGATTTTGATGGTTATAATTGGGAAATGTCGTAAAGCAATGTGGAAAAGCTAGAGCCTAAATTCTGTTTTAGTACATAATTTCAGCTGGATTTAAAATTAAAAAGCCACTGTTCCTACCTGGCGGGGGGAGGAATCCATACTTAGCTGCACAGGTCAACTTCCAGGTGGGGGGTAGACTTAAGAGCTTTATGGTGTCCCTACTCAGACAGAAAAGAAGGTGGGGGTGTAGTGACTGTGGTGTGAGACGGTTGACTTTTTAACACCCTCAACTGTCCCTTACGGGTCTCCCATTAGGTTCCGTTGGAAAAATCATCTCTGTACAGAAGAGCACCCTCTCCCACGGTGCGTCCACACATCCTCGGCTCTGCCACCGTGGGGCCCGGCAGTCCCTTCAGGGCCCCCATGGACTTGTACTCCTCCGAAACGAAAAAGGGACTGCTCTCCAAAGGGAAGAAACTGTTACAGAGATTTGGCGCTGTAAAATAATTTTGTTCTCAACACTTGTGCAGTGGCATCCACTTCCTCGTGAAATATCAGGCAGCGCACTGATGGCATTTGTGAGCTTAGCAAATGCTTTATTTTTGAACATCTGTTGTGTATTATGATAAATGTAATTTGTTACCAGTACAAGCATATTTTCATTACCGGTTTCATACATTTGTCCCACAGCCTCCTGGTGTTGGACAATGTAATGTTGTGCTACTGGCCTAAGGCTAGGAGTAAACAGGGCCCTGAGTATTTTAGTTGGGCCACCCCAGCATCTACTAACTCCAAGCATCTGGCTAGTATCCTTTTTTACTCATGGCTCAGGTAAAGCTTAGTCCACACCACACCACTTGTCCAGAGCAGTCAGTCGCTCAAGGTCTGCATGCTTTACTTCAGCACATTGCCTCCTGACCCCTTGATCATCCAGTATAACTGATCACACTTTGCTGACCCCTCCCTCTCTCAACAAGCTTGTTGGACACTTAGGAAAAAAAGCACGCCTGGTAGATCAAACCTCCATGTATTTGCCTTATAATTGCACAATGGTTAATATTTTGTCCAGTAGCTTGCAGTTTTTTTTTTCTCCTATTCAATTTCAGTGCTATTCCATAGTTAACCGATGTTAAAATGTGGCTTGTGATATGCAGGGTGACTGGTGTTTCCTAGAGCCAGAACTTCCATGCTGTTCTGTGTCCACTGTCCATCCAACCCTTTCAAACTACATTTGTGACTAAGGATAGGGCACGTCAGTGTAAACTAATTTAGAACATGAAAGAAAACCTCAAGGACAAGTTTCATAGTGGTATTAGCAACAAATCTGGTTTGTGCACGCAACCCTTCAGATCATTAGTATTCTAACTTCTTGCAGTGAGACATGGCTTCCTCTACTGGCCCGTGTATCCCTCCAACATTAGTTCTATCCAACCCAGTCATTGACGCCTGTTCAGTGTCCAAAATTAAGCTGCTGCAGGATATAAGTACTGTATATCATAATATCTACACCTTAATGTAGTGAATGTAAAATAAATTGAAAGCCTATGTATTTTCAGAGCTGCCCCAGAGCCCGATTTTGTGCATGAGAAGTAACTGTCCACCCCCATCTCCCGTTTTTCCATTTCATTGCATCAATTAGAAAACCAATAAAAATCAAAGCCTGATTTCTACTCAAGTTGAAGTAAAACTGCCAAAAAAGAAAGAAAAAAAAAGGGAATGTACACTAAACATTCTAATACTTTCTTACACTTTTTTGGCCGAGCAGCTGTAGCGATCTATGGTTAACTGATCCTATTTCTGGACCACGTCCACTGACATTACTTCAGATTTGAGTGACAGCTCTTTTTGTACTTTGATCATTTGTAAAATTGTTTTTAAATGTTTATACTTGATTTTCAAACTGCCTTTTTTGTACATATAACTTTATAATCAAACTGCAAGCTTTCCCCATGGTGTCTTTAAGACCATCCTGTTAAGTCTGCAATTGTGTGCTAGCTTTGACAAGAACTATCGGCCTATACAGATGGTTACAAAAATCTTGTGTGGGTGTGCATGTGTGATCTTTTTTAAAAAGAAAAATTCTAAATAAATTTATTATTTTGTTATGTGTGTACCTCTCATTCCCTTTAAAACTCAGATGTCCATCACCAAGAGTATCAAGTTTATTAAATTTTTTAACTAAAAGCCTTGGTGGCAAAACCTACAGAAATGCTTAACTGAAGACACAAGAAAACCAAAGAACACAATTGCATCACAAACACAAACTGGCGTGGTCTTGATGACATTAGACGGCAACATTGAAAATGTGAACAAGATTTTTACCAAATTGCCAAAGAACTGTAATGGTCTGCAGAATATCAGACCAAACTATCTTTCTGTTCTTAAAGATAGAAAAGGAAGTCATCCAGCTGCGCGTTGGGCTGTTTGTGAATACTCTGTCCCACGAGAAAAGCCAGCTTGTGGGCATACTGGCAGGGAGCAGGAACTCTGATGATCCCCTAAAGCACAAAATAAAAACAACTTCAACAATTCAAGAGTAAATGATGCACTTATTACAAAAGGTATTTCTGACGCCAGCCCACCTGCCAATTGTAGTACATGTGGCACAACTTGTAGGTGAGGCGCTGCATGTGATCAGGCTTCAGCCCACTGGTGTCGTACACCACATTGTAGTGTGTGGGTGAGACACTTCCGGATCGCACAGCCTGGCTTACAATGTAGAAGTCATACCTGCCAAAGTATAAGAAATTAGAAAAACAAGACACCCCACCCCCTCTTTTACAACACAAGACAGTTAAAAAGACAGCATACCACTCTGGACGGGTGACCTCGGTATCGATGACGGTGCCTGGTGGAGGGTTAGTCAGTCTGTCTTGAAAGTAGGTAAAGAAGCGGCTGCTGATGCGCTTCTTCACAACCACCACACTCAGCTTGGGCCTACAACAGGGTGGAGGAAGAATAGAAGGATGCTTCAATTTAGAAAAGTTTATTGGTGCTTTATAGTGAGAGCATCATTAAAAATTTACTGAAGCAAGATAAAAGTAGAATTTTGTCCCTTTTAGTTAAGTTGGACAACTTGCAGTTCCAACTCTGAACTCACTTGTAGTCTTGTTCCATTGACCTGATGCAGTCCATTATCTGTGAAACCTCGTAGTTGACCACGCTCTGCAGCTGTCCATCTCCTACGCCATCACGGTACACTATGATACGTGCGGGTAGGCAGTTGTTGAATTTGTGGTAGTCCTTCAGTGCACCTGGAGAAAATTAACAAATCACAGTCAGTTATGACAGTTAAACAGTGGGCAAAAGTGTACTTTAATGCCTTTATGCAGACCTGTGTGTGTGTGTGGAGGGGGGGGGGGGACTCACCACTTAGGGCAGTCTTCAGTCCATCCATAATTTCCTGACCCTGGTGCTGCAGTACACATTTTGAGTACCACCTTAAAAAACAGAGGCGTTACCAAGCGTTCAGATATTAACATTTGGAAAATCCACAGAACAGAAGTGGACCAGTAGCATGAAGACACTCACCTGCTCATGGTGGGATTGAGGCTGGCCACCAGAGCTCCAATGGACCTTTTCCCAGCAGTGGTGTCATGGTAGCAGTCAATGCCGACGATCATCAGTTGTTTGAGCTACACACACACACGCCAGCCAACTTAGTCAGGGTAATGTTCTCACAATGAAGCTGATATAATTCGCTGAACTAACACTGCCTCACAAATTGTCAAAATTATAAAAATTGTCTTGAGAAAAAACAAAATTATAGTTTGGCGTCTAATTCTACAGCTTTCCACAAACCAGGAGATTTGGATCAACCGCTCTTGTACTTACAGGGATTTCCACGCTCCAGAGTTCTCCTCCCATTTTGCATGCCATCTGCAGTACAATCTTTGTTGCAACAGTCATGAGTGCCTGAGGTCGGCTGAGGGTACGGCCCACCACACACTGGCTTGGAGTTGGACAGTCCAAACACAGGTACTTCTTCACAGTGTCATACCGGTCTTTGTTGTTGTTGGGGAGGATTACCACCACCTAAAAATTGAAAACACCAGAAAATTTCTTCAACACCTGCTTTGATAGTCTAAAGTGGATGAGAGCCACATAAAAAAATTCCTATGGATTAGAGTTTCAGTAACAAAAGAAGCCTTTTGAAGAGACATCCCCTTTTCCTTAATGTGAAGTCATCAATGAAGTAATCTGATGCTGTGTTACGTCTGAGCTGAGCTTATGACAGCCAAGCTACTCGAATGTTCTTGTGCTATAGGAGGATCTTTTGTGACGTCAGTGTTTGTTTCTCTCATTGCATCATGGTAGTGTGTGGCAAGAAACTGCGCATTTTGCCAATAATTCGGTTGTTTAGGATGTTTGGAAGAGGATTCGGCAGAGCAGATGGATTATTCTTGCTGTGTGAATGGTTGTTCGGCCCGTGGGAGGTTTGATATAATTTCTATTGGAACTTCCTCAGAAAACAACAGCAAAATACGAAAGATGATAGGAAGCGACCCGGACTCTCTGAAGAAAGCCTGCACTCCTGCAGCAACAGACAGTTTGTTAGGCTCATTTTGTGTATGGTAAGTCCTTGTGATTCAGTATTTGTTAGAGAAGTTTTTAAAAACATTAGCATGTAGCTAATGTCCTGCTGATCTCCGCCCGTGAAGAATGAGTTGATCTGGAAGACCAAGGCTCGTGGTTGCACCAGTCTGGCTTTATATTTGCTGATAATGTTCACAGATTTCACTAGAGATGTTTCCAGCCGTGGAGTGGGGTCGTTGCTCACGGGCCATTCCACTGCCGTGTGTTGTCCGTGAGAGCGTAGGAGAGATCTTGTAGGCGTGGCGCTGGAATTTCAACTGTGTCGCAGAGTCACGCTTGAGCCTATGTAGGGGAGACACTGATATCAACATCAGCAGAAGACTATAAAGCTGGTTGCAGCACCAGTGTCTGTGTGCTTCACAAGAGTGAACAAGCTGCACACACGATCTAACCCCCAAATTCCACTACCTCTGCTCCGCCCCCGACTTCCGTAGCCGCTCGCTTCCAAACTCAGTTTTTACTGGTACCCGCTCTACAACGGCTCCGCTCCGGTGCGGAGACCTGAGGTGGGCAAACAAGCATGCGCGGGATTTTCGAGATCTTGCGATACAGTCCGAGCAATAAACGCAGAAGTTAGATCCAAACACCCGTTGTGTGGGAGAAGCATTGAAATGAACTGTTTAATCTGCCCATCATTTGTGTAGAGAGATCAGCAGTGTTTGGATCAACAAAGTGTGACTACTTTGATAGTGGAAACTGTATTTATGGCTTACTTTTGTGCATTTAAAGTTCAGCCGCCATTGATAGTTGTTAAAAGTTGTTAAACCTGTGCATATGAAACAAAAATTGATTTTTTGTTTATCGATTTATTGTGAAAAACGGAAGTTGTGCTTGCTCCTTTTCCTGTTGGGCAGTTGTGATTCCTGTCCATTGACTGCGGAGGTGCTCCGGCGTCCGGCAAAAATGGAATAGATTCTATTTTTGCCGGACGCCGGAACAGAGGGCAGCGCACTGCGCTGCACTGCCGGAGCACGGCCGCAGTAGTGGAATTGCTCTGATTGACTACAACGGGACCGATTTTGCTCCGGAGTTCGTGCCGGAGGTAGTGGAATTTGGGGGTAAAGCTTATTTCACTATGTTTCCGACATTGTAGGTGTAGAAAGGATGGGAAAAAAAACAGTGCTTAAGGTGACTGAGACGTTCCAATCAAGTTTTTTGTGCCCTCGATTCAATTGAGTCATTTGATTTTGAGTATTTGCCAATATGGAGTCCTGATTTGACACTTTTTAGGAAAGCACTAAAATAAACAATTTTCAGCAAAGCATTAGAATAAGAAGGAAGCACACTCGTGTTGTCCTTATTGTTTCACTTTTACTTGCTTGGGAAATACAATGATTAAAAAACGTGTTTATTTTATGAACATATTTTAAATGAGCAGCGTTGCTCTTTTTTCATGATGTTTACACTCGATACACAGCAATATTTTGTGACGCACGTTTCCGTGATGGGGCAGGCACACAGTGTTTTAACAGGCAGGCAAACTTTTCCCTGCTAACACCTGTAGCTACTGCACAGCTTTGTTGCTGCAGAAGAACTAGAAACCCAGATGTTTTGCAGTCTGTTCGGAATTTCTCTTCAACGCATCTTTCTGTTGGCTGGTTTTGTGTTTTTGTCTGAGTTTACTGTAAACTGGGATTGTGGGTGGCAAAAAAATTAATGGAGACTGATGATTCGCTTTATGCCTGAAGACAAAAGCCGAAACTGAAAGTAGTTTTTGAAGGAAGCAATTCACAGAGCTGTGTCCTTTCCCACATGTTGAATGCCCAGTATGCACGTTACAAGTATCTGCTGCTCTGCCTTCACTGTCGGGTTTTAAATACCACCAAGCTGAAGACCCATTAGCTCTGCTAGCCTGCTTGCCAACAGCTTCATCTTGGTGTCTCATTTCCTGACTGCCTTAAATTGTGTGACATTACTTTGTTTTCGTACAAGAAACAAATAATATTGATGTAGAGAAACTTGTTGAAATTAAAACTAAGCCATTGTTAATCCGTTTGAAAATGTCTACCTCAAGATGAATTTAAGAAGTAATGTTTGTTGTTTTAAAAGGTTAAATTTCAATCACGTGATTGAATTGGAACATCTAGTGACAGACATAGCGACAATGTACATAACAATAAATAAATAAAATAAAAAGAAATCGTAATTAGGGGCACTGAAAGTTTAAGTATATTACATCATCAATGTGAATATTTCACATATTCCAGCCATCTATGGTCCACACAAGAAACTTTCCACGGATCAAATTAGGGCTGAATGATTTTAGGAAAAGACTGAATTTAGATTTTTCTAGCACAAATTGCGATTTCAGTTCAATTCACAATTTGTCAGAAAAAAGGAACAACACTAGCCTGCCTTGATATTTGGTGAAAAGATGGTCTAGATTCTAATCTAGTACAATGAATCATTCACATTAATATTTACCATCTATTAATACAATAAAAACAGTGAAAGCTATTAATATTTTCTCTCGTCTTTTAATTTACATCTTATTTTTAATGTACTTGTGATTTTTATCTAGAGGTGCTTTATAAAAAATATGTTTTTGTTATACTCCAAAAATGCAAGGAGGAAATCTGAAGGTAGAAAAAGCTTTCAGATGTATTAAATAACAAAACATGCACAGTTTGATTTTCTGCTGTTTGTAATGAAGTCAAAACGTCAACCTGACCGCTGATAAGTAAATAAAACAGTTTGACTCTCTTACTGAACAGCAAAGTGTGGTAAAGAAAAACAATTAGTATGTTTATGTATAACATAATAATTATTTTTGTAGAAGACCTAAAGAAATGTGCACTTTCTTGCTTGGGCCACATTTGGAGAAACCATTGTATTTGGTAGTAAACAGTAAAAATCATAAATTTGACTACTTTCTCCAAAATGAAAACCTAATATCACAGAAAGCATGATTATTTGTTGCAGATGTTACAGGATCAAAAACTGGTTTGAATGAGAGTCAATGGGACATTTTTGTCTGCTTAAGACTCAAGTGTATAGTGTTTTTATTTTCAGTGTTCCCTTGGTTTATTTACAAAATTTAATTTCAAAGTTTGTCTAGTGAGGGGTTTTGCAACTAAACTTTGTATCATATGCACAAATAATGGTGAAATGGCATCCAAAAGATAAGCATAAGACTGCCCAAATAGACCAAAATGCCCCTAATGAAGCCTGAGGGTTAAACATGATCAAGTAGTATTGATAAGAAGTATCAGTTTGGACAGTTTGTTGAATATTCCTACAATTAATTTAGTCATTATATATAAAAATAAATAAATAAACGTTAATAATGCCTGACCGAATTTATTGCAATATCGTGATACATTTTATCGTCTCCCCTGTATCGGGATATATCTCGTATCGCCAAACTTTCACCAATACGCATCCCTATTGATAATCATATTCAAGATACAACCTGTTGAAATAGTCAGAGGTGGAAAGTAACGTATTACATTTACTTACTTTATTTACTATGATTATGCTGCCTCACTGCCACCTAGGATTGACTGAATAATGTTTGTTGTTGGCCTCTAGGGAAACCTGCAGGCTTGATTTTAACCTGTAAGTCACTTTGGCCAAAAGTGTCTACTAAATCCATAAACACAAACTTACGTTACTGTAATTAAATAGCTTTTTGTGAATTCATACGTTTAAAGTTATTTTTAAAGTCTGTACTTTAACTTCAGTATGCTTTTTTTTTTACAAGAATTGTACTTAGTTACATTTTCAATCATATCTATTACAGAGTAAAAAGAATTACAGGCTTAATTAAAAAAAAAATGCACTCAGCATTGGAGCAAAAAGAGACACCTGCACGAGAGCCGTGTCTCACCCGTGGGGGGTGTGAGTGTACACTTTTTATAGTGAGGATGGTAAACTGCCACACTGTCCCCGCAGTGTTGCTCAAAAACATCAGTCATGCTTGCTGTTTACGCCCTCTCCTTCCCTCTCCTGTTGGTTGAAACCCACACCTTTGAGCACCAGTGTTACGTCTGTACTTGGTTCGGTAGCCAAACTCGGTTCTGTCTTTGAAATATGTTTCCCGAACTGCTCCACATTACAGCAGCAAAAGAATGTTTAGCGCTACTTACCAACTGATTCCTTGCATGGTCTACTGATAGAACAGGAGACCTGCAGCCTCTGTGAGTTTAAACGCGTTGTTTGTGCAAATTAACACTTAATTACTGGAGCTAATTCATTTGTAAACATGTGCTTTATCCCTTTGTGTATGAACTCAGAAGTTGCTTCTTGATGCCACAGATATGTGATGATTTAGCCTGTTTATTTAACTCAAGAATAAGAGATTTAAGTATTACAAAAACAGTTTATTATAATTAAATTAGTGATTTAAACGATTCTAAAATAACGCAGTGTCTGTGTATGTGCACGTGTGTGTGCGCACAAGCAAGAGTGTTGTGAGCTAGCGTTGTGATTATGCACTCCTTAGGTGTAGCCATCCTTGCGCTGACAAAAAAGTCACTAAGTAACTTTCACCTTGAGAACATTTTATTTACGAGACTTCTGAGTAAAAATTTTGGCAAATATTTTTACTTGTACTTAAGTAGGAAATATTAGTACCCTTTCTACCTCTGGAAATGGCCATCAAAATGGAATATTTCTTTGAAAAAACTCTAAAAGTTTAAGACAATTTTGTTCAACAATTTTGAAGCTAAGAAGGGAACTGCACATTTGTGTGTACAACTTCAGAACAGACCATTTGTATCTGGGGTGAGACATTGTGCTGCAGGGCTCGGAGGAGAGCCAACGCATGGTCTTCATATTCAATCCTGCATAAAAGAAAAACAGTAAATCAAGATTAACCCAAAAAATAAGCACAACTTAGTCCAAATAAGAAAAAAAAAATGTTTCAACAAGTCTTCGATGTCCAGCACTGGTCCTCGATGGCCCCTACCCAGAAAAATTTCTGCTTCGACACACATGCTTTGATTTCCTTTGAACAGCTCATTAAATCACTGAATCAAATGTTGTTGGAGTCAGAGAGAAATGACTAAAACTAAAGCTGGATGGGGGCCCTTTAGAACCAGGGTTGAAGCCCCCCAACAAAAACAGCAAATGTTTCATAAAATGTGGTTCAACATTACAAGTCACTTCCACAATTAAATTAGATTGTTGGAACTGGTAAAACAAAATGGTTTTACAGATGGCTGCACCTCTAGGCTGTTAAAAGCATGAATATGTGCAACAAAAATCAAAGGCAAATACTGTACAAAGTAAACTTACACCGTGGCTCTCTGCATGCGAATGCCAAGAGGGGCAGAAACTTTATTCAGAGACTGCAGCAGGGACTGTGCCTCTGAACTGTTTCGCTTGGTGTGAAACAGGAGCCAGCAGTTCAGAGGAGGAGAGCTGATCACAGACAGCCCACGCATCTCTCTTGACCAGTCAGCTGTTTGAGGGTTGTAATCGTACTGCAAGAAACAACTTGTATAACTATGAATGTATGAAATACACAAATCGTGTCAGTTCTAAGGAAAGATTCAGGAAGGTAATCTACCCATTGTGATCCTTGGAAAAGCCTCTCTCCTCCCAAGACTCTGCCAGTCAGTTTTAGAAGTTGCTTATCAAAGCTCAGCCCCCACTTGGTCATCTCCGTTTGTGCTTCTGCATTCCTTAGTAAAATAACATTTGAGATTCAAATCAAAGCCAGAAATCAGGTTAATCAGACATTTTAAAAATCTGAAATTGAGAAACAATAATAGTTTAAAACTATTCAACTCAATTAGTTCACTGATAAACAGTGTTGCCGCAGTTACCTGAAAATAGTAATTTGATTGCTGACTACTGATTACTCAATTCAAAAGTAACTACGTTACTTTACTAATTACTGTGTGTCAAAAGCAACTAAGTTAGATTAGAAGTTTCATTATGAATTGCTTACAACAGCTGCTACTAACTGTAATCATTGTCTCAACATAAAAACCATTGAAATATATACTGGACATTTCATGTCCATAGGCTTGAATTACAAGGTTGTTTCCAAATGGGAGATTCCCACCACTGCCATTTTGACTGTGTCTCACATCCCGGCACGCCCAGACAATCCATGAATGGGAAATGAGGTACAGCTGATGTGGTTGGAACAAATAAACCAATGTAGCTACAATCTAACTTAAGCCTGTCGCACACGAGAGCAAACTGAGCAAACAACCACGAATGACTGTTTGCTCAGCAGATACTTTGATGTGTGCGCCTAATGTTCACCGAGTTTTCTGCCTCACGAGACACCGAGGTGAAAATAAAACCGCTTTGATTTTTTTCACCTCACGGGGGGGTAGAAAGTCACCATTTGCAAATTACGAGAGCTGACGGCTGAGCTGAAACTAGCGGCTAATCAAAGCGTGATTTTCGCTCACATGATTCTAAGATGGCAACCCCATGTCTGACAGTATATCCCGGTTCCATGGCGTTTAGTTTAGCAGAAGAGATCAGCCAAACTTTCCTTGAAACAAAATAATTGTAGGCCCCTAGAGTTTATATTTTCATGAGACCCAATTTTGTATTTGGCGTGATTTAAAATGAGAAAATAAAATAATAATAATGGGAAAAAAAAATAACCATCTAGAAAGTATAGATCAGTTGACTCTCAGAAATTAGAATAAATAAATAAAATTAAAGCTGCAAGCAGCGTCGTTTGGGTCTCGCAGCTTCGGCTTGGCCGGCAGCCCAGGGCACATCTGTGGAACAGAAACGTCGACCACCCCGACACCAGAAAACGCGAACGGTCTCCTCATCCGCACCTCACCCTGACTCAGCATCTCCTCTGAGCACACCATTAAATTACACATCTCACCACTAGGGGATACTCTTATCTTTACCACACTGACGGTGACCAAGTTTAATGCTATTCTGACCACGTTTTCAAGTTATTAAAGGTTAAAGTTATCTAGGGGGCGCTGTGACCAATTACAGAAAAATCCATTTGCGGTCAGCTTTGGTTGACAAAGATGGTTTTCTGCTATTTTGGCATCAATCAGACATTGTGTGTGTTATCTAGAGCCAGAGAGCCAAAAGGAGGTGGAGCTAAAGGGATTTGACCCAACAACCACATCAATGTGTTTGGTGCAGTCACGTGACAACACAAGCCAAGTTTAATGCTATTCTGACATTGTATTAGGAAGTGTAACGTGATGAAGGAGCTATTCCATCGAAGGTTTTTTACCCTCTCTCTTCAGGAAGAACTAATCTGCATGAGACTGCCTCAAGGTCATGCATTTGCTTCTAAAACGTTTCCTTTCGAGCTCAAGAGAAGAAAGAAGACAAACTCTTTCTTTTTAATAAATCAAAGAACTCTATTTTAATAAAGCTAATCAAAGTGTTAGTCAAATACGGAACATATCGGCGTGCGCAGGCCAGAGTGCTGAAGCTCGACGCATAGTTCTTATGAAGCTAGGGCACATGCGGAGGACACACGCGTGCGCGCAAAAATATACTTGTTTTCAATTACATTTATTGGGCCCACCCACAAATGAGTTTCTGGCTACGCTAATGGTGACATATGACAAGACTTCTCGGAGCTCCGCAGCCATTACACTTTTCACCTCGCGCAGCTCAGGGAATCCCTGTTCTAGGGGGTGCCGTGGAGCTACTTTTTTTTGCAATTTCTTTGGGACCTTTAAAATACAAAATTTTACACCACGCCTGACATGTGTGCAAATATTCTGTTATAATATGTTAAGGCCTCCAAAAGCCATTTTACTTGGCGGAAGAAATTTAAACAGAGCAGATACAATAGGCCTTCGCAGCTTTGCTGCTCGGGCCTAAAAAATGACTCAAAAGTAAACATCAAGTGTCTTTAAATATAAAATAAGGTTTAAATTGATGATAAAATATTATAGTGCAAGAAGGTATTGTCCATATGTGAATACAAATTCTTGAGAGGTTAAATCCTTTAAATTTTTCATGAGTGAAGACTCCAGGGCTTCTACTAAATATAAATAAATGTATCCCTTGCAGGTTTGTGGAAAAAATAAATGCTGGAGATTTGGACCAATGTTTTTCATCATCCCAGAGCTCACAAAGGTTTTAAGTAACTTGCATTTTGTCAGAAATACTGATTTTAAGCTTCTCTCCAAACCTCCTCCTGTCTTTAGAAGTGTTTATATATTGGGGATTTCGCCTACAAACTTTCATGAAAGTGTACGTCACATATTGATAGCAGGCTGTATTGGGTTTTCTCCACACAACTACTCGCTAGGGTTGGGAATCGAACATAGATTGGAACCGGTTTTTCCCGGAATCGTTTTAAGTCTTTTATTTCGATTCCTAGTTTCAATTCCTAGTATGTCGACCGGAAGAGGAATCCGTGGCCGATCTCTGAAAAATAAACGTAATCTGCAAATTGTGATCAACGCTTTTCAGAGCTGATTACACCAGCGTAAACTTTAACTCCAGCAGTGTAGAGGAAACTTGCTAAAATTGTGTCAACACGGTGCATTTAATAGAAGCTTTAAAGAACAAACTGGACAGTGTGAGGTGAGTTTGTCTCACTGCAGAAATAAAAACACACGGAGCGTCAGCAGCCAGCTACATTGAAGTTTCACTTTCTGTTCTGACTGAATGGCTGCTGCAGCATGGAGGTGTAGTTCTCAGTCATCCTGGACATGAACATCCTGAGAGTTTTAGCTTAAAACAGCTGGATGTTTCTGGATATGTTGGGAGACATTTAGCCTCTCATCCTAGAGGCTTCTTCCAGACTTTGGTTGTGGTCAGAAACAAACTGACTGCAAGTGCTGCAAGTCCTTTTTTTGTCTCCAAAACACGTTTTTGTCTAAATGAAGGTGATGTTACTGTTCATAGAATTAAAATTCATGTTGAAGTTAAGATTATTTAATCAAGTAGGACCTGTGGTTAGCTAGCTCATGTAAAACATGCCATGTCTTGAAAGATTTGGAATTGGAAATCGATAGGAACCGGAATTGAAACAAGGAATTGGAATCTGAATCGTTCAAAATCAAATGATGCCCAAACCTACTACTCGCACATGTGCACAAAGATAAAAAAAAAAAAAAAAAAAAAGCTGTCAACAAAGATCCTCTCACAGAGACGACAATGACTCAGGGGTTAGAAAACTGCCCTTTTACTGGTGGGTTGCCATCTGTGTCTGTTGTGTGCTTGGCTAAGACATTTAACCTACCATACCTGCTTGTGGTGGTCAGAGGGACCAATAGTGCCTATGTACTGCAGCCTCACCTCTGTCAGTGTGACCAAGGCCAGCTTATCAGTGTGTGATGGGTGATTACTAACTTAAGCACCCTGAAGTACTCTGACTCAGAAAGGTGCTATTTAAGTGCACATCATTTATCATTTCATTACACATTCAATTATCAATTACTGACATACTGTAACAGCACAAAAACAGCCACCTACCTCTGTATGTTTGATAAGAATGAGGTGAGACGCTTCTCCCTCTGATCTGGGTTCAGTCTGGTGTGAGCGCTCAGGTCCTTCATGATGGTGAAATCCTTCCGCATCTTGTCAGTAAGACCTTTAAAAACAAAAATTCCCTTAGTTGATTTTAACACCTTACATAATTTTGGGGATAATTTAGATCAGACCAAACATTTAAAATATTTGGACCAACAACCAAAATGCACTTTCTATTGTTCTCATTTAAAAAGTGGTTTAAAGGAACATTTCAACTAGGGTTTAACGACTTATCGGTTTTAGACCAAAATTGCGATTTAAAAAAAGGCGTCCATGTGATCGTTAAAGATGCAGTTTTTGTAGCGCTCCTGACTGACCCAGGATCTGTTGCCAACTGTTTTAGACACCTGGGGTTTTCCTGTGTGTTATGTGACAGCAGAGCATGTGAGGGAGGGAGGGGGGATACAGTTACTGGAGCTGAGCCCAGCTGACAGAGGAAAGTATTTGTTATTTTCCATTTTTTCCCCCTTACATAGCTCTGCTACTACAGCTGATATTAAATGTGAGCATCTGTCTCCGCCACAAATGTTCTGTTCGTCTGTCAGCACCATGGGTGAGTGACAAGAGAGAGAGCGAGAGAGAGACAGAGACAGATTCTCCAGCAGCTTGACGAGATTTACCATTACACCAAGTGGACTTTTAAGTGCAACTTCTCTGTGAAAACATGTCGGAAAGTCGGACATTGACATGTTTAAATACTGTCTGACAAAAAACATAAAATCTTCAAACATACTGACTGACCTGCTTCCTCTCAAGTTTCCAAAATAAAATAAACTTTTTGAAAACCACATACTACAGACTGAAAGGTTGCACGAGTTCGTGACACAGTCTCTGATCTGAAGCAGCGCATCCTCTGAGCATTTAATTGATCTGCAGACTGGATGCTTAACAGCTGAAATAAGCTTGCATCTCACTGCCGTTCCAGTTTCACTTTCACAATCAACTTGTCTCTTAAAGCAACATTACCATTAGTCCACACTCACAATAACCCCTAAGGATCATTACTACATTTAGAATTATATCCATATGGTTTTCAGTGTTTCATAAGAATTAATATTAATTATTTAACAAACAGAAATAATTTTCTTAATCTTGTTCTTTTTTGAGCACAGGGACTGTAAACCTCAACATAGAAAATGTTTAGCAAAAATTTATTCAACAGATTGTCACAAAAATATGTATAATATGGAACTGTTAGAGGTCACTAAAAACTCAGTTAAATGGATGCAAATCTGAAGCCCACGAGGACAACATATTTTTTATAAAGTACCCCTCTAGATGAAAACCACAAGTTTCACCAGCACATAAAAAAAAGTTAAAGACACTAGGAGAAAATTATTAGCTTTTAATCTTTTATGGTATGATTTATATGATTATATTGTAAATTATATGTTGAACCTTGATTTGAAGAAAACCGTGAATCAAACTGAAATCGTAATTTCTCCAAGACAAATCACAATTCATTACTTTCCAAAAATCATTCAGCCCCAACTTTAACTATAGAAATACATTAAACGTACAAAACAACAATATCAATGTCAACTGTTTCACATGTTTAGTGAGTCTGTTAAATGTTAAAAGTGAGTCAAGCCATGGGTGGAATACGAATTTCATCCACACTTCCCGTTAGAAAAACACTTCTGAAAGAGGAGTTGCCTTGCGAACCGAGAAAGCAGCACTGAGGCAGCGATAGACTGCACCCCCCCAACTCCCCCGCGTGCGCTGTCGAAGTGTCTCAGTCTAAAAATGAGTTGTACATTCGCGTGTGCACGCAAGCACACAGTCACACTAGACTTGCTGCTTAGGAGAAAAGCAGACAGATTCTGCAGCATTCTGGAGTTTTTCCTGTTAACCACGATCATCAGATGAAAAAGGGGAGGAGGGCAAGTTTTTCAATGAGGCATGCGGCTCCGAGCGCCAACGTGTCATATCGACAGGTGAGTAGTTGAGACAGGTGGAGGTGCGGCTGCCTCACCAGAAGACCAGTGCAGTGCAGTCACGTAGCAATTTGCTGACAACGTCACATTTTTCAGCTTAGCAATCAGCCACAGCAGATTCTAAAACAGTGTGGAGCAGAGTTTTTACCTGAAGGTGGAGCTATAATTACGGTTTGGGGCTGAAATATTACATTTAAAGTAAGTTGCACATAAATGCCACACTAATGATTACACATGTCTACAGCACTATTTAGACACTCATCTATACAGGTTATCAGCAAAAAAAGTAAAGTTAGGTGTTAATTGCACTTTAAGCCTGAGATGTTTTTGTCATAAGCAGGTGTTATGCTATTTTCTGCAAACAAACGATTCTGTTGCTTGAGGGGGTCAGACCTTCAATTGTTTTTTTTTTCTTGAGGTTTAGCTTGCTTAAAGAGCAAGAAAAAAAAACTCACAAATTTTACCTTCAAGTAAAAAGCAAAACAAAATCCAACAGAACCTGTAAGGTAGCAAAGTTCTGGGACAAGCATGGCTGGTCCAGGAGGGGCGTCTCCAGTGATGACCATTTTCTTCACATGGCTCACCAGCAGCACCTGGTTTGCATCTTTAATGTCGAGGGCATATTGCTAGAAACAGGGGAAAATTTAAGTTCAAGGTAGATCAAATAACTTGAGTGCAGGTTAACTTAAAGACTCCATTATATTTACATTTTATAAGTTTTGTGAAATCTCAGTCCGTCAGTAACTGTGCAGGTGTTAAGGCAGGGGAAATAATATCAGACTATGTTTAACCATAACTTGAGTAAACATTTACATTCTTGTAGTAGTCTTTGAAGGAAATGTCTGCGCTTCCCTTCTTGAATGTGTTGATTGGAGTGTGATCCCATGCAATGCCGTCAATCCTGTAGGTTTTGTTGTTGTACCTTAAAATCAGAAATAGCGCAGAAATGTTACTGATGCTCACAAAGAAACATTCAGAAACTTGAGTAGCTACTCAATAAGAGGATCTTTGTTGACATCTTTGTGCGCATGCACGAGTGGTTGGGTGGCAAGAACTCAAAATAGCCTGCTGTCAACTAGGGCTGGGCAACAAATAGAAAATGTCAAAATTTCTGACTCATAGTAATAATTTTTCTCAATGTCAATTTGATTAAAAAAAATGAAAAGATGTGTGTAGGTTGGCAACGTTCATGTCCCTTTAAGAAGCTGTACCGCCATGAGTCACAAAAATGCGACTCAAATACATGCGACAGCCCCATCTAGTGGATGCACAGCTGCCCACACTTTCAGTGCCCGCTCTGCAACTGCAAAGTCTTCAACCCGATGGGCACAGAACTTCAGAGGAAATGTTGTTTTGGTCACCTCAATGAAGTCAGCTCATCTTGCTGGTAAGTCATGGAACATCTGCCAAGTGCTCTAAGCACATGTCCCACCTTCCAACCTGTTTCTCTTTCTCCAACTTGAAAACTTCCATTAAGAACATGTAAACCACAGCTTCCCAAAATTATCATCTTTGGTGCATCTGGGTCCTCTAGGCTTTTGTCCTCTTGGAATATCCTCAGGAGCTTCCAGTTGACAGCAGGGCCATCCATTGAAATCTGCAAACAGCTTATTCGGATTTAGTGGTGATGGGGCTATCTTGATCCTTTTCAGACGCTTCTCTGCTTGTGTGTCCCATAAACTCTGAATCAAAATAATGCACCACAACCTTGCCTTCGTGCTTACTCCAGTGCCTCACTACAACATCCAACTGTTCTGTCTGTGTCACTTTATTCAGACATTCATCAAAAGAAACTACATAGCACGGTACTTTTCTTATATCATTGACCCGTTGCTCTTTGAATTAAGGACCTAAGCCAAAACATCAGAATCAGAAAAGGTTTATTGCCATTGTTAGTGAACAAACGATTCACAAACTAGGAACTTGCTTCGCTACTAACGTGCTACATATAACATGAATAATATAATTAAAAAATAGAATAAAGTAGAATAAAATATAATAAACTAGCATAAAACTTTGCTATAAAAATGGCAGGTAAAGGTAATATGGCCGATAACGTAACGTTATGTCAAGTACCGAAGACGAGCATGGTTGTGTGTTTATAAGCTGTTCACAAGTCTAACGGCAGATGGAAAGAAGCTGTTCTTATGGCGAGAGGTTCTGGTCCGGATGGACCGTAACCTCCTGCCCGAGGGAAGCGGCTCAAAAAGTCTGTGACCCGGGTGAGAAGGGTCAGCTGCTATCCGACCTGCACGCCCACGAGTTCTGGAGACGTACAGGTCCTGGAGAGATGGAAGGCTGCAGCCAATCACCTTCTCTGCAGAGCGCACAATGTGCTGCAGTCTGTGTTTGTCCCTCACTGTGGCTCCAGCGTACCACACAGCGATGGAGGAAGTGAGGATGGACTCAATGATGGCCGTGTAAAACTGCACCATCATCTGGGTCGGCAGCTTGGCCTTTTTCAACTGCCGCAGAAAGTACATCCTCTGCTGGGCCTTTTTGATCAGGGAGCTGATGGATGGCTCCCACCTAAGGTCATGCGTGATGGTGGTTCCGAGGAAGCGGAAGGAGTCCACAGTGGTGACGGGGGTGTCCGTCAGGACGAGGGGAAGAGATGGGGCTGTTACTTTCCTGAAGTCCACAATCATCTCCACTGTCTTCTGAGCATTGAGCTCCAGGTTGTTGCTGCTGCACCAGTACACCAGCCGTTCCACCTCTCTCCTGTAGGCGGACTCATCACCGTCAGAGATGAGCCCGATGAGGGTGGTGTCGTCCGCAAACTTGATTAGTTTAACGGAGTCATGGCTCGAGGTGCAGCAGTTTGTGTACAGGGAGAAGAGCAGAGGAGAAAGTACACAGCCCTGTGGAGATCCTGTGCTGATTGTCTGAATGGTGGAAACATTCTTCCCCAGCCGCACGCACTGCCTTCGGTCCGTCAGGAAGTCAGTGATCCACCTGCAGGTGGAGTTGGGTACGTTGAGCATGGAGAGCTTGTCCTGGAGCAGAGCAGGGAGGATGGTGTTGAACGCAGAGCTGAAGTCCACAAACAGGATCCTAGCGTAGGTGCCCGGGGAGTCCCGGTGCTGCAGGATGAAGTGGAGGGCCAGGTTGATGGCGTCGTCTACAGACCTATTGGCTCTGTATGCGAACTGCAGAGGGTCCAGGTGGGGGGAGGTGAAGGACTTGAGATGGGGGAGGACCAGGCGCTCAAAAGACTTCATGACTACAGACGTCAGTGCCACAGGCCTATAATCATTCAGTTCAGTGACATGGGGTTTCTTAGGCACAGGAACAATGGTGGACAGCTTAAAGCAGGCTGGAACATGGCAGGTCTCCAAGGAGATGGTAAAGATGTCCGTGAAGATTGGACATATAAGGCAAGTTGCTTTTGTTGCACCACATGAAAACTTTTTGGCAATCTCACTGCTTGGGAACATCTGACCAAAAATGACTAAGACACCAAAGCTGGAGTTGAATGAGTAATGTGACATCACCATCTTAATTACCCAGCGGACCTCTGCTTCAAACACAGCTAGGCTTGAAAAACATGCTGAGATGCCCTGTGTTTCTACAACATTATAATAATGAGTGCTACAAACTACATAATCTGGGAATAAAGGAAATGCAACCTAATCTAAAATGGTCTGTATTAAGGTTGTCACGGTGTGAAAATTTAACCTCACGGTTATTGTGACCAAAATTACCACGGTTTTCGGTATTTTTTTTAAACGTGCTACATTTTCACACAATTAAATAAAACCTGTATGTCAGGAAATATTGTCCTCAGTTTGTGTCTAAATTTTGCCTAAAATGTGTTATTTTGTAATTATGTTGTTTGTTTACATTTTTTTCCCTTTAGTCTTTAAAATACCAATATTTTCCCATAACTTCTTATTTTATGTCTGTTTGATGTCATCATTTAAAAAATATTAGATCAGATGATACTCGGTACTCAAGTAGCCTTCTAATCGGATACTTTTTTACCCTTGCTTGAGTAATAAACCCTATATCAGGAAAATATTGTCCTTGGTTTGTGTCCTTCCAGTGAGCTTTGCAGATGTGGGAAAATGTCATCAGGCAGTAATCATTGTTAAATTCATAATTATTCTCGGAGAGAGACCAACTCTTATCTGCCCTTGGGAGCCCCGTAATGGGCTCGACACAAGGGAGGCGACATCGCCTCTCCTCCATTCATTTTTAATGAGACATGCGCGACAACACGATAATCGTGGGTCTCCCTCCTACCAAGCGAAAAGCGAAAAAAGTGCGTGTGAAATTTTGCGCTTGTGCATGTGTCGTGCACAGGCGACGCAATCCCAGAAAGTTGAAATATTTTCAACTTTTCATCGCTGTCGCTCGGACGAGGACCAATCAACGGAGGTTTCATTCACTGACCAATGAGCGGACAGGATGCTCCGTACATCTCCGAGCAAACATGTAGGAGAAGTTGATTATTATTATGTTTTATAGTAAAATCAGAAGTAAGATTTCACATAACTCTAGCAGCACCTTGTGAAACATATCTACCACTTTAACTCTGAACCGCTTAAATAACCTTAATTCCATCCAACCTGACACAGCCAATCAAAACAACGGAAGTTTCGATTTTGCCATGGAACAGAACGCAGACGGTTTTGCCGCTGCCGCGGATCGCCTCCGGTGTGACAGGTAATAAAAGTGACGACGACAAATTTCACTGATCGCTGTCGTTTGTCACCTCCCGTGTGTCGAGCCCATAATGCATAGCGTCATTTCAACATGGGGGTGTCCGCGACACGGTTTATATGCAGGTAGCGGTGCTGCGGCTGCTTTATATAGCGACTCGTTGCTTTCTCCCTCAACCCAAATCCTCGGATCACGCATTTGAGCTAAAACGCAAACGTTAGCTTGCCTTGCATTGTCTGTAGAGTTGTGGGTGATGGTCACGCAGATGTGTCATGAGATTTGAGGCGTTGCTGCCTTTCACAGACACTTTTTCTGCACGTGCTGCAAACAGGATAGCCGTCTTCTATAAACTCCCTCGGCATTCTTCAAATATCCAAAAGATACCCGTACTTCCGACTTTGTCTTCTTTGAGGGATAAAAAATGTCCTCCTGAGCACTGCCGTCTCCTCCTTTGGCCATTATTTCAGCTTTAGCTTCAAGAAAGTTTTGGTCGTAAACAACAAAGCGCGCATGTGTCGCCAGCAACTTCAGCAGATGATATGGTGGCTGGTAAGGGTCACAGTGCCTACACCGCAGCCACGGTAAACCCACCAAGATAATAGTTTTTTAAAAAACAAGACGATTATTGTCAACTTTTTTTTTTTACCGGGGTTTACCACTACACTGGTTACCGTGACAACCCTACCTGATCGGTCTGCTTTGAGCTATTTTGAAAACTCCGATCAAAACCGATAGGGCCGCTATCGGCCGATTACGATCAAATGCCGATCTATCGGTGCATTCCTAGTTTATATTGATTGTTTATTCAATAAATTAGTCCTGCTTTTCAAGCCTTAGCTGTTTTATATCTTTCATATTCTATGTTTATACTTAACTGTACACACCACATTACGCTTTACTGCTTATTTCACATGGTTAGATGTTAAACTGCATTTTGTTGTTCCAGTATTGGTCATTTTAGGTTAGTCCAATCATCCAGAAACAAGATTCAGGGTAGATGACTAGGCTAATATCTCTCGCCAACACCACAGACATATTGAACCTGAACATTTTTTTAATTCTACCTCAGAGATAAGTACTTAAAGTTGTTCGCTACCTTTTTAGTCTGGACTGTATGTAGCATTACTATGATAAATTTATAGTTACCACTTAAAATCATTCTAGTTATTAATTTTGCCGTATTGATTTCAATTTAATTACGTTAACAACTTTGTGCAAATGACCATGCCAGTCTTCAGTTCTCACTGCCTCCTTGCTGTGGTCTGTGTAGCTAGCTAAAAACAGCATGAACAGCTGAGGCTCTGCTCTCTGAGCACATACTTAGCCCCTTCAGTATTTTGATAGAACTGAATTCATGACATTATTCTCATTCACATATTTTTGTTTCTCCTGTCGGATGACAGAACAAGTATGAATTACTGAGTGGAGCGCGGGTCCGGTAGACTACCTGTTATCCGTCAATATCCCGAAGCTCTCGTCATGTTTGCGCACCTCAAGACATTAAGTAAAAAAAAACCCCAAAGCTCTCCTCTGCTCCTTTGTCACTCAGAGAGAAGAAGAAAAACCTCTCACTCTATAAACTGCGATAAGAGCAATACTCTTGAACTGAGTCGCTACTTTTGGCCCTTCTTTGGAGAAATAAATGTTGGGGTGAAAAATCTATGAATCTAGCAAAAAAGACAGATGGAAAACCAGAACTGGAACTGAAGGGGAATATGCAATCTGATTGGTTGGAAGAGTCACGTGGGGCGCTGTGCCGGCTAGATGCAGAAAGGAAAAGCGCTACAGCCCCATATTGCCCAAAATGTTTAATCCATTTGTTTATCCACAAGGAGGCAAAATTATTTTCCAGGACAACTCAATTTCCAGGACATTTTTCAATTCCCCCATTTTCTATGACTGGAAAATTGATCTATCTTTTTCCAGGTTTTCCAGGATGCGTGGGAACCCTGTATTTTTACTAATACATTTGTTGTGTATTGGAAAATAAACGCTTTGTAAGTTGCACTCTTGGGGAAAAAAGTTTTGAGCACATGTTTCAGAATGGAGAATTCAGCTGGAGGAGAAAGAGGCAAAATATGGCAGGACTTGGGAGTCTAGCTTTCTGATATTTGGACAATTCACTTTTGATTGGCTGACAGCAACACAACTACCACCGACTGGGATTGCTTTGAAGCATTGGTTTTTTTTTTCCCAATGTCAAGGCGCCTTGCTTACGAGGACATCGTCCTTCCTTGGTCCAATATATATACATATAAAAAACTGGTTAAATGGAACAGACTTGCATCACATGACAGCGGTTTCCACGGCAGTCACATAACGTCACGTGACACGAGAGAAAACGTTATAATTTAATAGAAAGCCCTGGACCCATCATCCGTGAAAAATTAAAGGCTTTTAAAGTTCTGGAGGACTGTGGTTATTTTGTCTCAAGGAAAGTTGGGCTGATCTTTTCTGCAAAGGAGAAGCTGTGGGGGTGAGTCTACTCTTTACTTTGTTAGTTTTGGGAGTTTACATGGTCATAGAGCACAATATTCTGTGACTCTTTAAAAAACAGTTAAAACGCTCAAAAACACTGGCAGTCTGGGGCTGAATCGATCACCAGCGGAGTTTGGTTTTGATAACAAGTTGGGGGTGTCAACTTTTTTCTGCTGGCTCTGCAGATGGACGAGTCATTGTCCTGAATTTGTCCTTTAGCAGCTTTGGGAATCTCAAATATTCCATCACAGGAGAATTCAAGCGCTTCCTAGGTGGAAACAGATAGGTCCTGGTGGTAGTTGTCACTGGTTTTGCTGCTTGCATTAGTTTAGTTTTACTTTTGGTTAGTTAATTACTTTTTTTGATTTGCAGTGTTGGAGACATCTTTACGGTGGGTTCACAGCAGCATTTCACACTGTAGTTAATAGTCAAACTGGTTAATCCCTGCCAACCCTACATCCACACAAGCACTACAATCAATTTATAGGTAAGATAAAGTTTCTTGTCACACCAACTAATGATGCAATGCAAGAAATCAACATTGATGTCACTAAAGATCTTCCTATAGTTACTAATACCTGCTTATTCTTACTTTGTGAGAACTATAAGGCCAACAAGCTCCTTCTCACACATCTCGTGGTAGTTCTGGCCTTGACACTTCCGCTCCAGGTTAGCCATAAAGCTAAGGACTGTCTCACTGCGCAGTACCTTGTGGCTCACATCCATGCACATCATGATAGATGACTCATAGCGCAAGATGGTGGTAGCATATCCTGGCCAGATGGTCAAACTGGGAAAGAGCAAAACAGAAATTTTATTATTTATTTTAAATTTGATTAACAAAAGATAATCTGGGCGATAAAACCATAGCAATATATACTTCAAAATTACTTTTCCTCAATAGATTGAGTACAGCTTGATATAAACTTTAAAAATAAAAAACAGATGAACAGCAGGTGATGAGCAACCAGACAGAGAAAGACAGAACAAAGCTAATTACATTTTGGACGAGTCATGAGGATGAAACTACCGTTGTTAAAAGAAATGTGTTTAACTTTGAAAATGTGGGCGCAATTTTAATTGTCAAAAACTCCAGCCAACCATTAGTTCACTTTGCTCAAATAGAAATTGAGGCCTGCCTCTAATTCTGGTCCTCCTTCCAATAAAGGCCTGGAGCTTGATGAGCTTGAGTCAAAAACAGGCCCGGGCCTGTATTAGAAGATTTACGGTAGGTGACCCTGCTTGGATTCAAAACAGCAAATTTTGCCGAAAGGTGAAGGATTTTTATATCTGCTAGTAGCTGATCTGCTAACCTTCTCAGTGGCATAGTGGTATGAGTGTCTGCCCTTATACTGAGAAATCATGAGTTCAAATCCATGGTCGGGATCATACCAAAGACTTTAAAAATGGGACCCAGTCGCTTCCTGCTTGACACTCAGTATTAGGGGTTGGATTGGGGTGATTAAACCAACAAATAGTTCTTAAGTGCAGAAATGTCTGCAACTCACTGCTTTAATGGGACTGTAACTTTAATATGTTTAGTGTGGGTTCTGACAAACTTGGGAGAACCTATCAATCTGCTTGAGTTCATAAACTACCAGCTGGAGCAGCAAGACGTAAAACTATAATCCGAGATGAGAGCGACTTTGAAGAGATTTACTTTAATCACCATGCACGTAACATTTATTTTACTTTTCTACACGATGTACTCCAGAACCACAAGTGAAAGTAAAGACCAAACATAAACCGGTCTCAGCAGACTAATCGATCTCTGCACAATACAATGCTACAGCAACTACAGAGGAAATACAGAATTTAAATGCCTATTTCGTCTGAGCATAAATGATGTCTATATTTTTAATTTTATTTTATTTTCTCTTAAAGCTGCCAATTTTTTTTCCTGATAGTCAACATTCAAGTTTCTAAAAAGTAAAAAAAAAAAAAAAAAAGTATAAAATAGCTGACATACCTGTGCTGTGAAATTTCAAGTGGATCATCCGGGTTGTAGTAATTGCGTCCAATCTGTTGCATGTTGAGAATTCTCAAGATCCTGTAGAAGCAAAAAAAATAAATAAATAAAAAAATAAAATAAATTAATTAATAAAAACATATTTTATTCATTACTAAGCATGTTTTTAAGACTACAAGTACAAAACTTACCTTCTGAAAATGATATTGTAAAACTGAATGCACACTGGTGATGTGGGAGGCAGCTCATTTGTCAAGGTGATTGTTATCTGGACATTCTCACCATTCCTGGTTTGACTGCAGACTACAGTTTCCTAAACAGGAAATTCAAATTGAGTGGGTGTTTAAGGATCAAAGCAGTTTTCCACTGACATTACTTTTTACTTAAAACTTAAAAAGTGCATTTATCAAAATATCATAAAGCAATGAACTAACACCAATTGTTATACTTTTTCATGTATTTCATGGTTGTGTGCGCTTTTGGAAACAATCTGTTGAATGTTTATAGTATTTTAGGTTCATTTACAACAGAAAAGCAGCATCAATTTAAGTGGAAATGAAACCAAATAAGTGAATAGTTGATATTGTAATGTTATACACAACACAGCAGAAGTGAGGATGACTTCAATTGAAATTTTATCTACCAACAGCTTTCTGGGTAACTGAACACTTGAGACTCAAGTTGTGTGACAAATAAAATACTTTCACAGTTCGGATCTTATCAAGGTTTTCAGTCACCGATTGGATTGTTTTTTTTTTGAATCAGCAGAAAAAAAAAAGAAAAGCAAATAGCTTTGCTTTCTCTATATATTTTGTACAACACTTAGTGCAACATTTTCTGCTCAATCTGCAACTTTTAGGAGTTAGAGGGGTCTGATTGCTTATTAAATGTTAAAATGGCTTCCCCTATGAAGACTAACGTTGCTTACTCAACTTTCTGACGAACTGCTTTTTGTTTTGTCCTCTTACAGATTCATCCTCAACATTTACAGGTCCCACCACGTTTGTTATATTCAAGGCATGTTTCTCTCTCTCTCTCTCACACACACACACACACACACACACACACACACACACACACACACACACACACACACACACACACACACACACACACACACACAAATAGGCTGTGGACAGGTGTCTTTTATGCAGATAATGTGTTCAAACAGGTGCCATTAATACAGGTAACGAGTGGAGGACAGAAAAGCTTCTTAAGGAAGACGTTACAGGTCTGTGAGAGCCAGATATTTTCCTTGTTTGAAGTGACCAAATACTTATTTTACACCCTGATTTACAAATAAATTCTTTAAAAATCCTGCCATGTGAATTCATGGATTTTTTTTTACATTCTGTCTCTCACAGTTGAAGTGTACCTATGATGAAAATTACTGACCTCTGTCATCATTTTAAGTGGGAGAACTTGCACAATCGGTGGCTGACTAAATACTTTTTTGCCCCACTGTAAATACTAGGAGTATTCCGATCACGTTTTTCTGTTCCTGATCCAATTTAGAGTAATTTGATTGAGTATTTTCCAATACAGAGTGCCAATTTGATACTAAGGAAAGTATTAAAATAAGAAAAAGAAATAATTTTTTCAGCAAAACATTAAAATAAGTAAATGCAATGTAAGTATGCAATGCTGGAAGTAAAAAGGCTATTAGGTTGCATGTTTACACAAAATCTATATAGAAATTAAATTGAATCGCTGCAATACTTATTTATAAAATTACCCCAATTTTACATGGAAACTGTGTGTGAATTCCTTTTTAGCCCTATATCAAATGCAGAAATTGATGGCTCATGGAAAAAATAGAACCCAACCATGTCATTTGCACACATGGTACCTTGTTATGCAATCTGTGAGGCAAGAAAAGCAGAGCTCCATCAAAGCTTCGAGCTGGACCCAAAACCTCCTCATGCTGGAAAAGGAGGGCAGATCTCAGGCGCCGAGAGTCCATAACTGGTTTGAAGTCCACATGGTACTGGAACAGAACCCACTCAGGACGGGACAGGATACGGGAGTAGTTTGCAGTCAAATTGATGACTGCACCTGATGACCCTGTAGAAGCGTACACACATTGTGAGCTTTCAAACAAATAAAAGTAAAAATCGTTTGGAAAATATACACTTAAACTGACAGACCTGTTTTTGAGTCCTTCACATGCTCCATCACTTGTCTGGTATTGATTCCAGTGTCATGAAAATCCCTACGACGCCCACCTCGTTCTCCAAGCTTCATCTGCTGAAATCCAGCTGAAATCTGTAGAGCAGCTAATAAAACCGACAAATCTGTCAGAACTAGCAAGCCACTGTAGCAGAACTCAAAATACAACAATTGTCAGATAGCTTAGCTCTGCTTAAAGGCAGTCTGTAACTTTGTTCTGGAACATTTTCGACCATTTTGCTTGAAACGCAATATGGCTCTAGGAGGCATCCTAAAGAAAGTGGTCGGATCTTTGAAATCTTTTTTCCTCAAAATGTTGCTTGCTTTAATGTCTTTTTAAAAGTACCCAGACTACACCTCTACATGTACAACACGTTTTAAAGACTATAGATTAATAATTATCATGTGGGCTTATTAGTATTATTTGTTTATTTCAAACCATTTTGTTTGAGGTCGTTCACGCAAGACATAGATCCGAATTAGATTTTTGCCTTTACCTTCTTCAGTGAAAGGTCCTGGACCTCTTTTCTGCCTGCCTCTGCCAACCAGCCCCGCCTCAGCAGAGGGAGCCGGTACAGGTGCAGGCTCACTAGCCTTGCTCTGCAACGAAAAATATAACAGTTTAATCAATATGGGTGGGACAAACTACCAGCCATGAAAACATGTCAATAGTGAAAAAGGTGACAAATCGAGATCCACCAGCAAGTTTCTATTCTAAAGTTGGGCTCACTTTAGATTAGTTGTTTGGATTAGTGACGGTAAAACTTGATTCATCAGGGTCCCCCCAGTGCTTTTTATGCCTGGCAGATCGCTAGGCTTTGCTTGGCCACCCGCCAGGCTAAGCGTCATGCCCCACCCCCTCCCCGACCCTACTGTGTCCGCTGACACGAATGGCGCAACGAAACTAGAGTCCTCCATCAGCTGATACTTGTGAGAAACAGCAGCGGAAAGTGTGGCTTCTTTAATTTTCTGGGGAAAACCCTGTTCAATTTATTAAATTGAGTTTGAGTCACTCACCAAAATTATTTGAGTTGTTTTTTTATTCATTTGAATCATAGTCAGTGCAAAATAAAATAAAATCACTCAAACCTAATTTGCTCCTCTTTCCTTGTACATCGTACCACTGAGTGATAATTTTTTTTTTTTTTTTACAAATTTTACATACAGAAATTATTTTTTATTTTTAAATAGTGGTGGAACAGAGTATTTTTTACTATTTTTTTTAAGACTGCTTGTTAGGACAACAAAAACAGACAACATAAATTATAACAAAAGAACTGAGAGGGCATGTATTAAAAAAAAAGATCAGTGAAAGGCAAACGCGGAAGTCACTAAGGCTGGGGGTAAATGATTATTTTTAAAACGATCATTCTGACGATTATTTTATCGAATAGTCGACTATTCTAATGACTAGACAATTAATCTAATGATTATTTTTCTATTTCACAGTTAATCAAAACCAAAAAAATCTAATAAATTACTCAAAAAAATTGATAAATTGTTACTGTAGGAGAATATACACTACAGGCCTTCCATTTTGTATAACACTGCTTTTATTGTATTGCGGTTGGTTATGTTCTGGTGACATGTAGAACTTGGGAGTGCAGCAATGCTGCTTTGTTTTGGTCACTTATGTGCGTGAGGCGAGTGGTGTTACAACTAGAGATGAGCCGGATACTCGTCTTAAACGAGTATCCGGTACGGATAAAGAATTTTTGACAAGTACGAGCATGACACGAGTAAAACTCGTAAATATCTGCAATCATGCTGAAGGAAAATCCTCATTGGGTAACTGAATGTCTTCACGCTCTGTGATTGGCCAGTCACATAGAGCACCCGCCCCTCCCTACACACAAAACTCTCTAGCCGGCCAGGAGCGCAGTCCATCCGGCTCATCCACGCACACACACAGACAGTAACGGATCTCACTGTGATTGCTTCACTGTTGCTCACGTTTCTTCAATTTTCCCTAAGTTTTCTTCAGCTCGCCTCTTTCGGTTGAATATTTAAAGTTACTTTTTTCGTAACTTACCTGGTGCATTTGACAAGAGAGCTGACGTGCTGCATCAGCTACGATCGGGTTTTTTTATTTATTTTTTTACTCCCTCTCACTCTCTCTCAAGACACACACACACACCTCAATCCACATTGTTTTGTTTAACTTTGTGTGGTGCAAAATGCCAAGAACGTTAAGAAAAAAAAATCAGTTTAACCAAATTAAAATCAAAAATATATATAAAGTTGTGTCTGGTTCTAGCATTTCATATTTCCTAGTTCCTACTGCATGAGTTCAGATTTATTAATCCATGCACTTAAATATTAATGTTCTGATTTTATTGAAACACATGTTCTGAAATAGTTCCTTTACTATTGTGATCAAAAATATTTAATCTCAATTCTGAGGTTGCTCTGTAAATAGTTTTCAAATTAACAATACACATAGCAACTTCTTATCAATACATATCAATTTCAGACTTAAATATATTTTTGTAAATCAAACAAAGTGTCAAGAGTCAGCAGAGGCTTTAGCCTGGGGTTCCTCTGGGAGAGGCCTTCTACAGTTATATTAGTTGTTATTTGAAGACAATCATTAAAACAAACACTAACTGAATACTCATTATCATTCTTAATGCTACTTTTATTATTTACAGGTGTTTTTGAACATATTACATGAACAAAATGAAAAGATGGTAAGGGGAAAAGATTAATTATAATACGTGACAATTATTTACAGATCAAAACAAATATGGAACAGTTATGTACAGTTCATGCAGGATTAACCTGAGAGTGACTTTTCCTGGATCCTTTATTTAAACTGAGTGAACAGGAAGTCTTTGGCACTGTAGCTGGATCTGTTGCAGGAGGATCCCAAATGTGGATGAAGTGCTGAAACAGAGACCTATGCCATTATACAGGGCAGTCTGCAGTGTGTGCCTTCAGATGCTTTCTGTCAAGGTCCACTACATCATCCATCTACAGGGATTTCTGGGCTGGCTCAATTGACGGCTGATACATCTACGGCGTAGAGAGAAATATGCAATGAGGAGAATGTTTATTGATGCCCTAGTATAACAATTTTGACTCTTTAGCAAATTAAACCAGTGTTGTTTTTAAATTGAGGTTCCTACATAAATTACTTGCCTATTAATTGTAGTGGTGTGGTGGTCTGGTGATATCTCCTCCAGGACAGAGCACCACTGACAACGTACAAACCAGTCTCTTATTGTCTGGAACATCTTCCTCAGACTCATTTTCCAAGACCACAGTCACCAGCACTGAGGTAGGTGTGCAGAATAGTGCATGCTTAACAGTAAGAGTTCTTTTTAATAATCAAGTTAAAACAAACATAACATGCAGTACATTTGTTTTGTTCTGTTTAAAAGAAAAGCAGGGAATAGGGCTTGCGAACATGTCTTCACCAACGCAGCCACCCCCTTGGAAGCATGAGTCTTTACTTGTTGCTGGTTACTACTGTAAACAGCGCGCTTTTTAATTCTTGCAGCTTAATCTATTATTTATTTGATCAGTTATATTACAAAACTAACCCTAACCCACAAACAAGAATGCCAAAAGTGTATATAATATAAATAAAAAAGTACAGATCATTTGAGAGATCTAAGCACTATTAAACTTAAAGCTTCTTTCCAGAGTACTTCTTTCTCTTATCCGATAACACCATCTAGTGGCTGACATGCAAATCACACAAACTCTCTTGTTCTGGTTTTTCAAGATGGCAACTTCACATTTCTGTTTATAAATGTGCTTCTGTGGCCGACAAACAGAGCTAAAACACACTGTTATACAAGTATTATTCTCATGTCATATTCTCATATATTTATATTTTGGAGACTCTCCTCCGTAAAAAGTTTAGCAACTCTGCAACAGCCAAGGTATTCCTTAAATATGAAGCGTCAAAGCTGTAGTCTAACATTATTGGTTAATTCTGGTCGGCGCTCAGTTTCCTATTGCACGGAGCTCTGCAGGACAGGGGGCGTGTGCTAAAAAAAAGACATATTGGCTTACATTATATCACAGTACATGAGATAATCACTTTTACGGATTTCTGACAAATCATACATAATATCTGAAAGGGGAAAACTCCAGAAAGCATCTGTAAGTTGAGTAAACAAATGCACAATGAAAACATTTCAATGCTGTGTAGTTAACTTAAAAAGCCTGTCTATTACTTTTACACCCATTTTATGGTAAATAAGAAGTTCTAAGACCCAATTAACATTAGAAAACATCCTCTGTACTCAACATTTTTGATGCATTTTGTTTATATAAATTACCTACATGTTAATACTCTATAGTAATGTGTTGTTTACCACACCATTCATTTTAATTTTAAGCTAGATTAAATATACATGAAACCAAAGTAAACCTGTAAGTCCTGAAAGCTTTAAGACTAAACAAAATTACTTTACCTGAAAGCTGCTGTGAACAAACACTGATGATGGACGTAAAGCTGCTGTAGTTCCTAAATAAAAATTCCTGCTCGATTTTTGCGAGCGCAAGCTTGTTTGCTTTATATGTTGCTGCCCTCACGGCTGTGACGAGACATACAGGCCATCGTAGAGGTGAAGGCTGGACTGTCCGAATTGAGATCTGCTGGCTTACGGTCTTGCTGGGGCAAGGACTCGACCTAGCTGGACCAGTAAGGACCCGTGCTCACAACAGCATCCTGCCCCTGGACTAGGGATGAGTACCGAATTCGGTACTTTTTAAGGTACCGACCGAATTCCATAGTACCGACCGAACACCGATTCACGTAATTTCAAACGGTGCCTCGTTTCGGTACTGCCAAGACAGTTGCGCATGCGCAAGAGCGTTATGTCGCCGGTCCCTGCGAGCCCGTTGTAAACAGAGTAGCATGGTAAAAAGAACGCATGCTAAAGCTTGGGTCCACTTCACTAAATGTGATGGGTAACTGGGTGATGAAACTAGCGACAGACAACGATCTAAGTGAGACATCCTCATCTTAATCTGCTCCGGTAGGTAAATAAAATGTTTAAGATAACGTTACCTTGATTTGTTAGCTTCCGTTTCGCTAATGGTGCGTTCGCTTTCTCCTCGGAACTCTGAATTTCCGACTAGAAGAACATGAACGCGCTCTTAAGTTTGGCTTTACTTTACTAAATGTGACGGGTGATTGGGTGAAGGTAAAACCAGTGACAACGATCTAAGTTTGAGGCATCATCGTTTTAATCTGCTCCAGCAGCTAAATAAACTGTTAAAGATAACGTTAGCTTGATATGTTAGCTTCCATTGCCACCGTTGTTATCAGCTAATGGTGCGTTCGCTTTCTCCTCGGAAATTCTAACTTCCCAGTAGGAAATATCAAATGAAAAAGGACGGCAAAAGGAATGAAGATACACAGTAAATTTAGTTCACAGTAAAGATGTTTGCTTCAGTTTAATTATCAGCTTATAAAACTACAAGGATGATGTTAAAATACAAACTTGTATGTTATTTATCGTGATATTTATCAAATATGGTTATATATTGAGAAAAATATATATTTAATTATAAAAGAGAATTAAAATAATAAACACTCAAAAGTATCGAAAATTGGTACCGTTAAGTACCGGTATCGACTCGTAGGTACCGGGAATTAGTACCGGATCGATTCAAATGTCAAAGGTACCCATCCCTACCCTGGACGCCGACACACTCTTAAGAGACTGATCCAAGCGCCCATAATTCGGGTCTGAAATTTAAGCCAACATGGAAGTGACAAAAATTGCAGTTCCACCCCCATCCGCTGGAGGCTGGTGTCAGAAGGGAGCAAATCCTCATTGACTCCCATGTTAAAAATACCAATTTCACTGCTGAAATAAACATGTTTACAGCCTGGTTCCAAAACATGTTTTAGGTTTAATAGAACTAGTTTACACTCATGACAACTCTGAGGGGGTGAATTTTTTTGTCACTCTTCTGTTTAAGCATATTAAATGCCAAAAATTCTGAATAATTAATGAGCATCAGACCACCGAGGAAAGGCCTCAGTCTGAGCTTTGGCCTCGCCTGAAAACTGTTCTGCGATTTTAAGTCTCTCAATTTAGACAATTAGTTGTAGCATTTGTGCATTCCTTTTGGATATTATTTGTGCAATTGTTGGTCAAAATGACTTGCTGTGGCATTAATTGCACTAATAGAGCGTCCATGGAGTCTCCAATTTCATTTTTTTCGGTAAGTAAAATTATATTTATGTATTTTAGGTCACTGCATCTTTTGCACTAGCTGAGCTTAGACTTTAACAAGTACTGTTTAACCATGAAACTTAAATGTAATAGGGTAAAACCCAGTGCATTTAACCCTCTCGGGTCCATGGATGCGTATACGCATCTTTTTAACAGGTCTGATTTGGGACGCTGTAGCAGCAAGACTCCGCCTCACTGAGTTTCGGTTTCAATTCAGCTTTAAAAAGGAGATTATAAACTACACCCCAGTTTTTAAAATTTTGTTAACAGGCAACGTAAAAGCGGAGTTATACTAAACTAAAAAACTACCTATTTTTAGACAATCTGATAACTTGTCAAAACAGCAGTTTAGTAATCCGTGAGAGGGAATGTGCTTGTGAACATAAAAAACCCACAAAAACGTGAGATCCTTTAGCTGTTGGTGGAAGTCTCACATATTCAATTGATATAAAGTATCATTATGTAGCTGAGAGAGAGGGGAAGGCTGCACGAGTAACGAGATGTGCGCAAAAAGGAGCCGCTTCGCGGGGAAAGGAGTGGCGCGAATGGAGTAACAACAAACAATTAGACTGATCTCAGTGTTTCCCCTAGGAATTTTTCCAGCTATGGTGGTGTTGGCGGGGTTATGACACATCTCACCTTTATGTTAATATTGTTTTATTTGATTAACTCCACTTTGAACTGCACCAATCCAGCGACTGCTGCATTGTAATAACTAGTATTAAAGATGAATACACCAATATTTGCACAATAATAATTTCTGTTTTAAACTCTCAGTGACACACTTTGCAGGGGGGATTTGGCATTTAATTTTTCTTGGCGTCTGGAAAAACATCTTCTTTTGCCCCCTTTATTTTGGTCCAAGATCATTACTGGGCTAGCCCTAATAAAAACTTTCTACACCCCTGCTTAGTAGACTTAATGTATTTCTAAGCCAGTATAAAAATGACTGAAACACAAATTTACATATTTGGCATTATTGACCAATATCTTTGATTTGATTTATTTGTTAAGAACATCAAGATGCATTACAGTGAACATTATAATAAGCTGGGCGGACACTGTGCGACTTTTTCACTCGTAACACAGCTTCAGCTCAAACTGTACGACTTCAGCGCAGGGTAGATCTCACAAGTCATGTGCTCACTGTACGTCTGGTAGCAACACGTCGGACCTAAAATATGCTAAAAATAGCAGTTTTTACACAACACATCAGACTTTTTTGTCTTGTTTTGCCTGTTGTCCTTCGGGAGTGCTGCAGGAGGACACACAGGGATTTATGGGGGTTGGATGAGGAAAACGAAATAAAGAAAGTAAATCTGTGTTTTGTGATCAGTTTAATTTGACATGAACACGACAAACACGCTTTCTTGACAAACTTTGTGAGTAAAAAAAACGTGTAGAAATAAAAACGAACGTGTGTTATTAGGGAAATAGCGGGCGAGCAGTGTTGATGCAGGATTGCGAATGCGCCGTGAGCGGTTCTAATACTTTTTGGGTCGCAGCTGCTCGCTGCGCCGCTTCAACCCTCATGAGGAACGAGATAAATATCAAACACTCCAGAAGTCCGTGCGAGCTCACGATTGCTGATCGGTAGCTGGTCACGTGGTGTTAATCGCCTCTCGTAACCCCCTGTACACTACACGACGCTCAGCGCAAAACTCGCCCCGATCTTGCGGATTCTCGCACGAGTGGAAAATCTGCTCAAAAAAGTGAAAAAGTCGCAGTGTACGCCCGTCTTTACTGTCTGTGTGTGTGCGTTGATGCATGGACCGAGCTGACGGAGCTCCCGGCTGCAGTTTTGTGTGTAGGGAGGGGCGGGTGCTCTGACTGGCCAATCACAGAGCTTGAAGACAGTCAATGAGAATTTCATTCAGCACGATTACAGATATTTCCGAGTTTTACACTCGATTCATGCTCGTATTCGTCAAAAATGCTTTATCCGTACGCTCATAGCTGTAACCACCCTGCCGTGCCTCCTCCTTGCTACCTGCCGGCTGTGATCACAAGCAGCAACAACAGTAGTTCCTGCTGCTTCTTCGGGAAACAGCGCAAAAAAAAAAAATTAAAAAAAAAAAAAAAAAAATCAATACAACTTGGGATGTTGTAGGAGTGGCGGTGGGATTTCAGCCGTGGCGGCCCGCCACGGCTACGCCTATGTAAGGGAAACCCTGGATCTTGACAGTAAACTTCATATTTTGGAGCGATCCGGACAGATATATTGTCTCTGCAGTTTAGCAGGCTTTTATTAGGCTTAAATGATGATAAGAATAAATGTCCACCAGGCAGTTCAGATAGTACGGCTGTTTTTTGAACTAGAAGCAGAGGAAGTGGACAGAGACTCGCAGCTGGAGTCTGAGGCAAATAGCGAGGATGTTGATGACAATGTGGCAGATCCATCCTTCCTCACAGAATAGTTGGGTCATGATGAGGTAGAGGATGAAGGCAGAGATGCAGCTCCTCGGAGATCCAACAAGAGGAGTGGGCGGCGCTGCGCAGCTGTCAGATCTCAGTGTGAGACAGAGCCGCTCCCCACTCCAAAATGCATGTACATTATTGCCAAATTAATAAAATAAGTATAAATTCAGATAGTCCAGGTTGTCCTGAAAAAATGACACCCCATAAGGCAATATTTATTGTTTTTATTAGAAAATACAAAAGAAAAACCAAAATGAGTCAGAAACGGTGATTTACACCCTGGACCCCAGAGGGCTAATAATTTTTTTTTATTTGTTATATTTAGTCATTTTTTATAAATGTTCAGTCTAGATTACCATTCTAAATTATTAAAAAAAAAACATTTGTCATAAACTTTTTGTTGGTTTCACAGTAAAATAAACAACTTTTTTCCAATTCGGATTTTATGTTTTTGAGTGATTTAAGGTCTAACATGAAACCCCTTTATGTCCAAATATAAAAAATAATTATAAATCCATAAAGTCCAGGTTGCGCTGAAAAGATTGATACCACATAAAGCAGTGGTTATGGTTTTTATTTTGGAAATACAAAGGAAAATTCTAAATTTGTCAAAAACGGAAAATTACACCCTGGACCCCAGAGGGTTAACATACCGCTGCATTTTAGAAAATGGGTTTAAATATAACATGTTGGGAGGAGCTGGATTCCGACTATTGGTATGGTACCCTCCCGCAGCTCTGCGCATCTTTGATCGTGGAGCTCTCGGATGGAAACCGCTCCCAGCGGCAGCTCTGCGCATCTCTGATTGCAGCTGCTGCGCCGATGCCGGCTTGTGGAGCTCTCGGGAGACCTCTGTGTTCCACCCGATTTTACCCAGCGGTCAGCCCGGCGTATCTGTTAGAAGCTCTGGTGTTGTGCACAGTTAACTCCGGTTGTAGCTAGGTTGCTACCTCTGTTAGCTTAACTTCCACCTCCAAGTTAGCTTTGAGTTAGCTTGTAGCTACATCGCTTCAGCTTCAGTTCCACGGGTGTCGTCATTTGATCCCAGCCGTACAGCCCCACCCTCAGCTGCACCTCTCTTCCCATTTTTGGAATTGTCTGTGCTTAACGGAATCTGTGACACAGTCAAAATGGCGGTAGTGGCCACCTCCCATTTTGGCTTAAGAACTTATTGGAGCCTATGGAAACGAATTGTCCAGTACACATGTCGATGAGACCGATATAAACCTGCCCCGTCAAGAGCGGTGTAACAACTAGAGAAATCAACTTGCAAACATTTTAAATGCCTGCTTATAATCTGTATCATATTAGCTTTACTTACCACTCCTGGAGCTGCGGTCTCCTGACCACGTGCTCTTCCACGTGACCTTGCTCGTGCCCGACCAGTCATTTTCCAACGGCTTTCAACTGAAAAGTAAAAATAAATGAATAAATCGAATAAAAACACGCGCTTTATTACTTTGTTGTAAATAGTGTGATTGAAAACGTTGTTAAGTATCCAGAAATAATATATTTAGATTTCTTTAAAAAAAACGTCTAAAGTTTAATGCTGGCAATCTCCTCACAACAGTCGCTAATGCTAGCAAACGAAAAAATGGCGAAAAAGTGACTAGAAATTTTAAAACAAAAATTGTTAGTTAAATTGGCTACCATTTGCTAGCCATTCAAATGTTATCAAAAGCAAGTGTAAGTCCCAAAAACAGATGTAACTTAATATATACTTACGGTATCCCTTACTCCACTTTAATTCTAGCTATGGCTAAAACAGAAAAGTCGTATGTTTTGGATATTTACACCTTCTAATCGAAAAAACTTCTCAGCACCTGCTTAAGGCGGCAGAAAAAGACCAAACGACGTAGTTACCTCCGAGCTATTGTTCAAGAAAGTCAACTGACAAATTCCTACGCCATCACAATTTGATCAGCCTTCTTTGATAGTATTTTACTTTATATGGTAAAAATGTTTCTTTTATAAGTATATACTTTAAACAATAATTGTATGTATATTATTTATTTGACTTTCTGACAAATAAATAAGATTTATCTTTGGTACTACTTTTCATGGCGCAGTGATTTCATTTTATGTAGGGCACATTTTCCTTTTCCCGTTTTTTTTTCTTCTTTTATATGGTGCAATCTCCACTATGACCGCTAGATGGAGGTAAATACTTCAGTTCACAGGACGTGTCCTGGACCAAATACAGCAGTTTTGCTGAGTTTCTTAAAAACCTAGTGAACATACTTCTCATTGTTAAATGACCTCTGATTCCTGTTAAAATAAAGTGTTATTAATTAATAAATGATGCAGTTGTCTTTTATTTGTCACATGATATACTTTCAAGACTTTCTTTATGCCATTTTTGAGCTAAACTCTGAGAAACAAAATGAAAGTCACTGTCATCAGATCCGGAGCAAACATGAAGGGTTCCAATCTATGGAGACTTTGCGAGAATTTAACTTAACAGTTTAATCAGGAAATAACTTCACAAAGTCAGAAATGCATTTCATGCCATTCTTTCAAGAGAAGCTTCACAAATAGTTGCAATTTTTGCCAAACTCTACATTCTGTTATTTAAAAGAGAACTTGCCACCTCAGAGGGCATTTTAGGAGGATGCATGCAAGTCTTTCATGTCTGAGATCTAAGAGTGATTATAAATTCAGAGCTGGGGGACAGTTCTGGGAGGGCCTGTTTTAGTCACTGTTACCTGCAGGAGGAAGACTGTGGAGAGATGAAGCAAACGGCAGAACATGAATGTCATCAAGCCTGATTGTTGCATAAAAAAGGAGGAAGATAAGGAGCAAAAGCTTGAAGCAAAAATGTGCAGTGACATTTTTTGTGCATGCAGACAGCTTTCAGCAAAACAGAACAATGTGCCACCTCCACAATGGTGCTGCACCTTTAAAGCTCTGATAGAAAAGGAAGAAAGTTTTCTTCAAAAGTAAAGCTATTTCTAACAGGAGACAACAACAAAGACTATTGAAAAAAAAAGATTAAAAAAGAAAGAAAAAGAAGAAAATGGTGTCAGTGAGAGGACTGCAAGCTGAGTGGTGTGAGGCTGAGAAAGGTGCACCCTGCCAGGGACGTTGATGAATGCGCTTCAGGCTTCAAGCTCGCCCCACAGCCTCCAGCAGCGCGGATTCCACGCTTACGCTAATCACGCTCTGTGAGATACTACGGCCCAAAGCTGATGAAAGGAAACATGGAACACAGTTAGTATATCAAACTGGCTGCATATTCCCAAAAATACACACTTCTCACCAACACGTTTCTGTGTGGATCCATGGCATTTGTTTTCAACCTAATTTCCTGCTTCAGTCATTTAAAACAAAACTAGATCAAAGCGTTCGTTTTACATAATTCATAGTGACTCCATTAAGCTTGAACCCCTGATTGCAAATCCAGAGCAAGAGGGAATTCCAAAAAATAAAGATCTTCCATCGCGGTATCAGTAAGCGGGTTACGAAAATTAGATTAATCTCTTGTGGAACCTAATCTGCTCGGCATCAGAGAGTTCCCCACAAACACAACACAGCCATTACATCAAACACACGCACGCCATTTCCAAAAGAATATAGGCCAGAGCTGGAGCTACAATCATAGGGACATTATTGTTGTGCAGCTTGACTTTGCCAGTGATGGTGGAGAAGGATCACAGCTATCCTGCACCAGAAGGTGGAGATCACTTCCTTTGACAAACACAGCAGAGGAAATGTTGTCCTCTGTGAGGGATAAGCATGCTGCTTTCAGCTACTGGGTTAAAAACAGAAAGGGAAGAAGATAAAAATTTAAATTACATCTTTTGATTGCTGTGGAAGCGTGCTAATGAGCCCATTGTGCTGTGAAAAAAATATTATGTTCAATCTGCCTTCCATTCCTAGTGAAAAACCTAAAACAAACAAAGATTTTCCCAATATTTATTGTTTTTTTTCCATTGGATTTTCATGTTAAAACATTAAATTTGAGTATTTTACTTGCACTAACACATATTTCATGAATGTGGGGATCTGTACTCCAGAAACACCTGAAAAAAGCCTGAAAATGTGTCAAACGTTCACTTCTGACAGCTAGATATCATCAAATAAACCCACAATGGCATAAAATCAGGAGTTTCCCTTTTCCACCATGTTGGTGTAAAAGTATCAATCCTCCTTTTTAGAAATGGTTCAGCCCTTATCTTTCATTTCCTGACAATCCGAGCACCGAGGACACAGTTCCAGTGGGTTCCCATGCAGCTCTGCAAACATACAGTTTCCTGCTCTGCTGAAAACAAAACCAACTAGCTGATGGCCTTGAGGTGCAGAGCTTGTGTTTACAGACTGAAGAAATGCAAATATATATATATATATATATATATATATATATATATATATATATATATATAAAAGAGCACTGAAAAGCTCACCTAAATGTGGAAGGCAAGAGAAGTTTCGTTCAAGGAATCTTCACAAAACCATAAGTTTATAGATGATCTGATAAAACTTGTCTGCCACACTGTTTATTTTATTTTGAAGGGGTATGAGGTCAAGGTGTGTTTGTGGGGGTGTCTGACCACAGCGGAGTCAGAGCACCCCCCCCCCCACACACACACACACACACACACACACGAGGATGCCTCACTGTGATCTCTGAAAAGTCAACAAGGGTTGGTCCACAGCTGAGCTGCAGGAGAACAGCGACAGAGATCATGCAGCGGCAGCCTCCTGGTGGCAGCAGCTGAAGAGACAGACAGTACCCCCTCTAGCCTCATATCTGACCTTCTACTATGTCATTTGCAGATTGTTGTAGTTGTTTTTTGATGCGTTTTTTCCTACTACACCTCCACAGTTGAATGGACACAATGCAGATTTGCAATCCAGAGCAGATTATGTCATGCATCGCTGAAACTTTTCGGGGATTAAAGTTAAACTCTCAGTCACCATGCCCTCCTTTGTCCAAAGCGTCAGTCTGAGCAAAGGTGCAGTGAAGCATCTGCAGCAACGAATCTAATAAGCACAATGTGGGAATAAAGCAGAGGGAAGTGAGCATCAAAGGCAGCCAGGCGCAGCATGACTGGCATCAGTCTGAACTCCCAACCCAGGACACTCAGCATGCTCTTCAGCAATCGCCCCCTGTGGACCAGTCCTGGGCAGTAATTAAAACCATCATTCCCACTGCCTCGGTGTCTCATTAGCCACAGGACCTTAGGCTTTCATCCCTACTTGTCCAAGAATATCACAACGCCCCACAAGCAAAGATGAGTCGCTAAAAAACACCGAAAAACATTCTGGTGTGTTCTCTGAGCCGAGGCGCTGCATCCAGCTACGGATAACACACGTCCAATCCAGTTATTTACACCAGGAAGCTGCTCACCTGTGCAGCAAACAGAACACCCGTGTAAATGTGGACTGTTTGCTCTGCAAGGGGAATCCTCTCTTTGCTTTACTTTTGTTGTTGTTGTCAACGTTTGCGGGAGAATCATTAAAAAACGAGGCCGAGCTGATACGTGTGAGGCTCCTACGATTTCACTATCAAAGGGGAGGATTTGAAGTGGGCGAGCGTCGGTTGCAGTGGTCAGATTTAGCTCTTTGGCAGAAGATAAAAAGAAAGTCTTTCCCTGTGTTTAATTCAGTGGGAGCCATGACTAACTCATGTAATGTAGCGGGCCTGTGAAGCACATCACCTGCTTTGTGCAGCGGAGACAGAAACGAACATGCCACTGGATCCTGAAAGCGAAGCACTGCAGCACAGGCCTGTTAGGAACATTTATTGTGATAGCTTTATTTTACTCCCCGCTGAACCCGTTCTTCGGTCTAGCGGCGCTGCCGATGCTACAACCTTGATCCACTGCATGTTATTAACCCACTTGGCATCACCGCCAGGATGATTAAGCGAATTTAAACAACTGTGAGAGACTTATTGAGAAGATGGGACGTCGGTGCCAGCATTGTGTTCCTGTCAGGTGGTCTGTGGCCTTGCTGTCGTTAACCACAGCAGCCGCATCTGCAAAGTCAAATCATCCGATAGTTTAATACGTACGATAGAAAACCACTGCCCCAGCTTACATTTAAGAGTTGCTAAATAGTTTGGAAATGCCCCACCCAGACACACAAATGAGTCAGAGGGTGCTTTTACATAGGCCCGACAAATATGTCAGCCACTCCTCCTGCTGCACCACAAGTGTGTGTGCGTGTGTATATGTGTGTGTGTGTGTGTTTCAAACGAAGTCTTCCCATTCTTCGGCCATGAGAAGCCTCTGATCTCTGAGCGACACAAAGATGGGCCCCAGCTGAAGACGAGTCCTCCACCTTTGTCAACATTCAGCCTGAATCAGCTGTTCTTTGAACAACAACAGTGAATTGTTTGGTGTGCCACAAAGCCCACTAAGAGCGCTGGTGCCTTCTCTGCTGCCATTATGAGTGCATTCACATTAAAAGCCAACAAGGAGCTGGTTCTCAGCCAAATTCAGCTAACTGACTCACTCGCTCCCGCTCTGTTTCTCTAGAAGCCTTTGATGTTAGCGGGGGGCTTCTGCCCTTGCAGTGATGGTAGCGAATGATACTTTAAGTGATTCTTTTTTATCCGGCGAGCTTAATGAAAGATTAATGGGTTTGATATTTTTCCCTTGTTTATATTTTATTTAAAATGTAAGCCGCGATCCTTGGAACCTGTGAAAAGCTTCTTGGTAATTACTTTGTGGATTAGTGGAAGTCACGTTATGCTCTTTGAGTATGAAAAACAATGACAAGTGCTGACTGTCTCTGGGTAATAAGTGCTGACCTCGGCGCTGCAGCTCCATGCTTGGGATGTTGGATGTATTTGTTGCAGCATTTCCTTATTTAGCAGATGACAGAATGTGGATTTGACTCCATTTTACTGATGAAATGATGCAGAGGCAGGGATTTTTATAGAGAAGGTCGAAATGTTTTCCAGAGAAGATTGTTGAAGTGAGTTTGGACATGATTAGACTGCAGAGGAAAAGCAACAGCATTTGCTTTTTTGACACGTAAGTGTAAGGGGGCGAGAATTTAGCAGGGGAAACATATTAGCAGGTTTACTAATAAAAATCCCTGATAGATTAGACAAATAATCCAAACGTTATTACCAGTATTATTATAATTAATATGTTATTATCATTACTACTATTTATGAAACTATAATTTTAATTTAACACTAATGGCAATCTGTCCAGGGTGTACCCCGCCTGTTTGCCCGTTGACTGCTGGAGATAACACCAGCATACTGAAAGCAGCTCGACCGGCCTTCAGGCTCAGCTCTCTTTTCACCGTGACAGACCGCCACAATGCCTTCATCACTGCTGACGCAGCACCAATCCGCCTGTTGATCTCACGCTCATCTTTCCCTCACTCGTGAACAGGTCCCTGAGATAATTCCCCCACTTGGGGCAGGATCTCATCCCTGACTCTGAGAAGGCATCCTACCCAAGACCATGGTATCAGATTTGGAGGAGCTGATTCTCATCCCAGCTGCTTCACACTCGGATACGAACCGCTCCAGCAAAAGCCGTAAATCACGTTCTGATGAGGCCACCAGGACCACATCATCTGCAAAAAGCAGAGACACAATCCTTTGGCCACCATAACAGATTCCCTCAACACCTTGGCTGCTTCTAGAAATCCTGTCCATAAAAGTTGTGAACAGAATTGGTGAGAAAGGGCAGCCATAAAAAGCCAAATAAAGAGGTTGCATGATGCTTATTTCTTGTCTTTTTGTTATTTTCTGTCTCATCCTCTCTGTTTTATCTCCACAGCTTTATGTCCTTGCTCTCCCTCATGTCAAGCTTCAGTTCTCATGTGTCTCATGTCCCATGTGTTTCAGTCTCACCCTGGTCCATCAGCTCTTTGGTTTTATGATCCAGCTGTTTTCCCTCAGTTCCCTGTTTTTAGTTTCAGGCTGTTAGTTTCTGCAGCTCGTCCCGTTTAGTTATCTAATATTAGCTTTTTCGTGGTTCTTTGGTTTATTCTTGTCCAGGCCTCTGTCAGCTGATCCCCCGGGTCTCCTCATCATCAGCTAATTATCCCACCTGTTCCCCATTGTCCTCTCTTTCAACAGTATTTAACCCTTTGCTTTGCCTCTGTCTGGTTTCTCCATGTTTAGCTCTGTTATTGCTCACCGTGGTCACGTCCAGTTCTCTTTGTTAGTTTTATTTTGCCAGTTCTTCTTGGTTCATATGTGTTCATGCTCCTTCCACGCCAAACTACGGAAACATTTGAGTTGCAAACAAATTTTATCATTTGGGTCAAAAGTAAAATAAAATAAAAAAATAAATAAAAAACAACAACACTAAACCAGAGATTACAATCTCAAATCTCATGCATAATCTGAAGATCTGTGCTAAATTCCACCTATCCTACAATTTTGCTTAATAGTGTTGCGCAGTGTGTGTGTGTGTGTGACTGGCTGTGTTGTGAAGCACCTTGGGGCGGTTATAGAACCCATAAGACACCTAAAGTGAGAGTCAAGACATGGGTGGAGACGTATTTCATCCACACTTCCTGTTTGGAAAACGCTTCTGAAAGAGGCGTCTCCTAGCGGACAGAGAGAGTGGCACTGAGGCAGTGATAGACCGCACCCCACTCAACCCCCTCGCCTGTGCTGTCGGACTTTCTCAATCTAAAAACGAATTGTTAACGAGCGCATGCGCACTCGCCCAAGACTTACCGCTTAGAACAGCAGACAGATTCTGCTAGCCTAGTGAACTAGACTAAATTCATGCTTTGCAAAGTTTGGTCTAGGCACTCTCCATTGGAACCTCCGCAGCTCCTACCAGGACTCTGGCTAGCCAATCTCAGCTCCCTAGAGGGGTTTCAAACACATAAAAAGCTGTGATT